GGCATCAAGTTTAATGACAACATGTCTTACACACCTACACACTTGGGGCACACCGTGCAAAGACAGATACCAGTACAAAAAGCCTCATGTACCAGTAATGCATATTAAACCATGGAGCCTTTTTTATAGCTCCATGGTTAAACCCACCTTTACAAAAAGTGTATAATTGATGATTCAGATCGCAGAATGCAACAGGCACTACATGTATGTGGCCCAGCATCTAGATCTTGTTACACTTTATGTGGAATATCGCACTGTGGTTGCTACGGTATCCACCAATCAGAAGCCAGCATTTAAGTTTTCTGGAAATATTCATTGAGATATAAGTTCTATGGTCGGACCTGTCCAACATTATGCTATGCAGACTACCGCTATGTACATGTACCGATACCTCCTGACTTTAAAGCTTGAAAACAATGTAATTTGGGCTCCGTGCGCCAACGAAAGAGGGCGCCCTTTTACCTAGCATCGACGTCCCATGGGTGGGACATTTAGCTGGTTGACGTGCACCGTTCCTTGTTTGTGCCGCACGTACACCAGAGGATTTATACTATGTACACGCAGTGGGGGTACGGCCGTGCGTCGCGGCAAAATTGCAGATCAGCCAAGATGGCGTCGGTCGGTCACCCCCAACTGCACTTTTCTTTGCCGGTGAGGGGGTACTTGTGAACGGAGCAGATACTGTACATAAAAAACATAATTTCTACTGCATTGGACCCGTACCCCATCATGTTAAGACTCGAAGACTGTTTTGTGAATGTTGTAATTTCAACCAAGGTCATAAGATCATCCTTTTGTTGTATATACAGTACATGTATGCCTCCTGACTTTTTAAGCTTCTTATGAAGTGCCTTCCCTATGGCCAAAGGTCCAGCAAACATATTAGCCTTCTATAAATAGACATGATGGATGCCCACTTTAAATACTTGCATTCCAACACCGTGTCCACAACTGTTTTAAAAGCCGAAGATCTGAAGACAATAGACAGTGAAGTGACCAGTTGGTGTTCGGCATTGTCCCGGCTCCCGGCTCGTTCAATACATAAAACAAATAGTGGATTGAGTTCACACCTTGTGAATACCAGTGATCTGGCTGTGGGGCTGTCACTGGACACTGGTGCTCCCCCCCCCCCCCCCTTCCCATCTCTACCCCAGGTTTAAGTGTTTGCATGTTTATTTTACCCAGCTTCTGAGCTGAAAGGCTTGAAAGGAGTGAATAGATGGAGGATTATACGTGTAGTTGAGCCTGTTATTCGAGTCCTCGCCAGGCTTAGTGTTGTCATTCTTATGGAGAGATGTATAGCGTCTGGTTGTTGAGATCGTGAATCTTGGAAGATGTAGTTGTGAGCTAATGTGGATTGTATCGAGCAGGATGTTGGAACATGTCTTCTTTTATTGTTTGGATTTTTATGTAGCCGAAGTTCCTGTTCTCTGTAAGTATCCTTAAATGTATTTGTTTTGTCAAAGTGAAGATCATTAAAACTCCGGCCGTCCTTTCGTCTGAGGCAGATATCTAACTTTCATATCATTCAAATCGTGCATCATATGGAACAATGAAGTATGTAAATAACATGTACATGTACATAATGTGCATTTACACATTTTGTACAGGTACAGTGGTACATACATGCATAAAAGTCATAAACTTTGAATGTGTGCATTTGGCCTGGCCTCATCAATTATGTAAAAAATAAATTACTTACAATTTCAGTGCTTTTTTTAATTTGATCAGACCGGCAGCAAATATTTCAGTTAACTTTACATCTGCAGCGAAAAAAATAAATCCACCGGAAACAGTGTAGAATTGGAAGGTTTGATCAAATTTTATAGAGCAGATAGCCCAGATTTGTGTCAAGGAAGAGCATAGCGGTGCTGAGAGTGCCTTTAACACTGGCAGTGTACATTTTCCAAATGCCCTAGGCTTCAATACCTTTGTGCCAAAAAAAAAGAAAAGAAAAAAGCTCAATCCAAGCATTTGATACGTGCTGCAGACATGCGGGGGCGTGAGACAAATGGAACAGCCCCAAAGCATTATGGGATGTTTTTTAATTGAAGCTATAGGCTTCGCTGGGACCGTGAAATAGGTCAAGTCAATTTTCCCCTTTGTGGTCCGGCTGTGTCATGTTGCAGTGCATTGGACAATGTTTGCATATTATTTTGGCGCAAACAAGGACCCGATCTGATCTGGGTTAGGCTTTGAAATTTGTCAGCGTCTGTCATTTTTTAGGCTTTTGCAAAAATTTCGGGTCCAATTGTTTTCCTGTCCCTGTTGCAGATCTGAGTGACATCTATGATTTTATAACTCTAATGCACTCCTTAATGCAGTCATCCTCCAAGAGTGATTATGAATTAGCCAACTACCTAACCAACAAATAACAAATTGTTTGGAAGTTATTCTTAATTAATGATACTTGAATGGCAAATTACACAATATTATTATTTATTTCTGGTAATGAAACCAAGGGTTCCTCCAAAGCGCCCTAGGCACTGTAGCTCGCAAGCCTGAAGAAACCTGTGGAGAGAAGACAATGAGAAGAAGTTACAGCTTTAGAGGTGGGAGGAAAACCAAAGATGAATATTCTGGGAAAAACCCAGGGAATCAGGCAGGGACTGAAAACCCAATCCGTATGTTGGCCCGGGCGAGATTCGAACCCGGGTCACAGCGGTGGAAGGCGAGGAAAGAACCGCTATGCCAACCCAACTCTCCAATGTAACAGGGACAGGAAAACAATATGACACTTTTGAACCCTAAATTTATGGAATGGCCCACACGAAGAGGCCTTTTTAATCATATAAACCCTGCCCAGGCCAAACTAATTACATCCTTAATCCCCCTAATACAAATTTTAAAAATCTGACAGTGATTCACATAAACAGGTTTGAAGATTAACATATTTTAGGTTGACTGATTAAGTGTGCATAACTATCGTGTCAGATCATAATTATTAATTGCTCACCTTTTTCTAACAGATTATCTTTCTAATCTAATTAGTGCCACAACGTAGAGCTGTCAAAATGATAACAGTATTTCAAATTCTTTTAAATTGAGTTTCCTGATTAATTGTTAATCCATTGTCTAGTTAATTATTGAAGTGACTGTGTGATAGTTTATCTTGTAAGAAGGGTAAGTCGGCTTGTTCCTAGCTTACATGCATACCTACATGACCTGGGAGTTACGAGCATAACTGGCATTCCTTTCTATCAGGTCTTGAATTCCAAGCTTGCTGGATACATGTCATGTAGGGTGCCATGTACAGTTGATCTAAATTGGTCAAATGTCATCGGCACACCACATGTTGTACATGTACAGTATATTGTCCATCACCTAAATGGTTCATGTACATGTTTATATGACAAACACTTTGTGACATCAAAACATTCAGAGTATATTGAATTTTCCTTTAGAACGGATGTGGTCGTTTATAGGCTTTTGAACCAAAATTTACCATGTAAGTTTTTGCTTTGCAAGTGTTGAATCAATCTATCCAAAAATTGTTAGCCACCGAAATAATTTCTGCATGAAATTGAATGACACACATAATGAAGACTGAAACAGACTTTTCAAAATTGTCTTTGTTGGATAATGAAGCAAAATTTAAAATCTTCTGAAATGAAAAACTGCTTTCATTTAAAACACAATTTTTGCCATTTTTTCACCACAGCTGATATTGGCCTTCAGTAGTAGTAAATTTCTGACAAATGTCATCAAAACTCAAGAAAAAGCTGTGTAAAAGTCAATGATCTGTTGTTTATTAGTGTGAAATCGGAGCTTTGTCATTTGATCCCGTACACATAGTGCAGCCTGTTCCAGTTGCACTGATGAATATCATTACGATGACTGCAAAATAATGACCGTCGATTGTGATGCAGGACACCATGTCATGTGATGTGCATTGCTTGGACATTGTAACTGGTTACCACCCATAGTATTTCTGATGAAACATGGGCCTGCAGGTTATACACCGGTACATCCCACATACTGTATACAGCCTGTCTCCAAAAAAATGGTACAATCGAAAACGATTTTTTTTTTTCAATATTAAATCTCAACATAAGTAAGTCGTTTTGAGCATCACATTAAAGAAAAAAGACCAGGCTTTACAATACTTTTTGTTTCATCTCATTTGCTTTTGTCAATCCAGAGATAACTCCAGTTTACTGCGGAACACAAAAATCGAGTTTGTTTCTTTTGCCAAGTTGCAATCTTTTGTGAGCTTCAAGACAGCATGGCACAGTACTCGAAACAACTCTGCCCATGCATAAAAGTGGCACAAAATCGAATTTGGTGTATCGCACTAAATTGATTATATCTCTGAATTGACAAAAGCAAATAAGATCAAACAAACACTATTGGAAAGCCCAGTCTTTGTTCTTTAATATTATGCCAAGTAAGAATGATTTATTTTGAAATTTCATATTAAACCAATTTTTTTCTCTGATTGTACCATTTTTTTTAGAGACAGGCTGTATATCCCATTTGAAAATAAGTATCTCATATTGTACCGAACACCAGTCGGCGAGTGACAGCAACTGTTGCATATGTGACGCGTGCTGGCAAAATGAGACAGAACTGGGCTGAGGTCGAAATGAAGGTTAGCGGGTATTAGGAAAGAGAATAAAAATTCTCCTTACAATAGTGTTTGTTGCACTTCAATTGTATGTTCTGTTGACAAGTTATGGCTGTTGAAAGTTCGCATCTGTTGACATGTCAAAAATGTAAACTACTGAAGTTTCGAGTTTCATTTTCTTGAAAATAATTTTAAAACACTTTTATTGCACCAGTTTTATACTATTTCTTTAAAAGATGTGCAGTAGACATATCAAAGATTACAAATATCAATAAATATGACAACCAAAAAAAATTCATAGATGTTTTTGCAGTTTTCTTCACTTACAGCCTATGCACACTTTTGTCTCATTTTGCCAGAATGCATCACAATTTCAGTAACAAAAATTACAGCCTCTTTTTCTCGTACTTCAATTTCCCTGTCTTCTCTTTAGAGAGAACAGAGTCCCTGCGAGTTCTCGCCCACGACAAGTTGCGGGACCTGCTCAACATTCTCCGCAACATCCTGGATAAGTACAGTGCCCTGCGCTCCACGGACGTGCATACGGCAGCCGTACTGCTCATCACACAGATCAAGAGTAAGTTGCCCAGGCATGACGGGCATGCTGAGTAATCGTCACGGACCTATAAACCATCAAGCAACTGCTAATGAAGAACAAAAAAAATTGCTAACTGCAGAAAATTATTCATTTATGTCACTCACACTGGTTTCCAGCCACAATGTCGTGCAGTTGATATTGCTTGTCACTTGTTCTCCGCTGTTTCATACCCAAGCATAAAATAAGCTCCTGAAGCATCTGCCAATGGTACCGTAGCTGCTCTAAAAAAAAAAATTGTCTGACAAATTGTGTATTTTTTAATCACCCTTTCCTATGAAGTCCATATTTTCTTGCAAATGGATGAAATTTTGCAAGTGTTCTGTAGCTTGTACATGTACACATGTAAATGACATTTTCTTAAGAACACATCTTGTGCAACTTTCTACTCTTAAATGTATGAAACTATTTGAAGTCTCTTTTTGGTTAATTTTATTGAAAAGTGCACTTCTTTAAACCTTTAAAAAGAATTTCATGCTTTTCCGGACAACTGAGGGCGCTGTTGCTGTGATGTCATTTCAGGAAGACACTGTTTAGTTTAGGGGTTTTCTGTTCAAATTGTGAACCCAAAATTTGCTCCTTGAAAACATTTCTGAGAAAGGTTTGCTCATTGGCTTACTGCCGTGTCGACCTACATGTACATGTACCGAACGAATCACCCAAAAAAAAAAACATTTATGACAGCAAAATATATCCAAAACTCTGGCAACTTTTTGTGCTGAAATACAGTAGCTGTAACATTGAGGTTTCTGCCTGGAATGACTTCACAGTTTTGCTCATGAATATGGAATTTCACTAAAGCATAAAAACCAAAAAGGCACCAAAATAACCTTGAAAATGGCAAATTGAAAACACCGGGTAAGGTTAAACGGGACACAAAGGTACATTTTCAAGCATTGCATTAAAAAAAAAACTTCCGTTGCATGGGCCCAAATGCACTAAATTTTGTCTGGCATAATCCTGTTTTTATTTTTATATTTATTTTGGTTATATTTTTGTTTATTTGTACCAGGTTTGAAGGATGAAAGTGAGGAGGAGAGAGTCAAGCTGTTTGAGGCGATAGACCAGCTGGCCCTGGCTTTCAGTAGCAGGTGAGAGGAAATCGTCTGTTGGTGTCAATGAATTCAATTTCATGGTTGAATATTTATTCCTTTTTATTGGGGGGGGGCGTGGTGATCAATGGGATTAATTGATCAATTCAGTCACAGTTGATCAACTGATCAGATTGTTTATTGATTAACAAATTTATTATTTGATTTTTAATGCATTTATTGGTATTCAGAATCAGATTCAAATTCAAATTCAAATTTAAATTCAAACTCAAATTCAAATTCAAATTCAAATTTAAATTCAAATTCAAATTCAAATTCAAATTTAAATTTGTTATCCACACTAAAAATATAGAGATTCAGCTTCCACTTGCATTTCTGAACAATGACATTACATAAAACCACTAAACCAATATATAGTACAATATACACAGATCACTATAACTCACTAAAAATAAACCAATACAATACAGTTAAAATTTAGAGGACCACGACACATTGCACAAAAAATTCTTAAGTCAACAGTGATGGACTTCCTGATGAATTGATTAGGTGATAAATAAAAATGGCTAACATATATAAGTCAAAACTTTGATTCTTTGAGCTGTTCATAAAACATGAATTGTATGATAAGTCTTTGGTTAATAACGTTACATTTGCCGATCAAGTTGTTGTATAATACACTCTGTTCATGGAGCCTTTCGATCGATGGTTCTCATCAAAGCCTCGGCCATCAGCCTCGGTCCAAAATTTTGGCCACCGGTATCAAATGAGGGGAATAATCGTCATAGCGATTTTTGGCAGGGTACACACCTCCAGAGTTGGAAAATATGTGATAGCATTGCAGTGGTGGCAGCTTTTTGGGTGTTATCACCCTTTTTTTCAAAATGTCCATCAAAATGCTTGTTACCACTCTAGGGGCGGTATACCTTGCGCATGCGCACTATAATCATTCATGCCCTGATCATTCAGGCCAAACCCCCAGGCTGATGGCCTATTAATCATTTTCTTTTCTTGCTGCAGTGTGACAGAATTTCTAATGGGAGATGTGGAGCAAGGCAGCGTGGGATTCCCCTCCTCAAAGGTAATTGGCTGACGTCATGCCAACCGCATCTGGAAATTTCCATTCCCATATTAATCTACAGGTTGATGTACTCTATGTTCGTGCTCCTTCGAATATCCACATCGGTTTTGAACATGTACTCATGATTTCAAACAATTTTCTAAATTTAAGAAATGTTGACTTTGTATCTAACATACCTTGAGAGAATGTGGTCGAGTCCAGTTTTTTTACCTTTTGAAACCTCGTGGCCTCCTTCCAAAAGTTTAGATGATATTTTAATTTACATGTACATGTCGGTGTAATTGCAAAGTGTGTTAAACTGTTTCCCTTTCCAAATATGTATATAAAACTGGAATTATTTGTACATGTATATGAAGAGCCGGTTTGAAGGCAGGAGTTTGTTTGTTCATTGGGTTAGAGTTTTGTTTACGGCGGCTAAACATGATCGTGCGCACTGTCGTACTTCCTTGTTTAGAGTAAATTATTGAAAGTTCAAGTATTTTTGTTATGGATTTGTTTTGAGCGTTTTACATGTTGGTTGTCGAGTCAGAAATTGGCACTCCTGTTGAAGTCTTTCAGTAATATTCTCGGACAGTGTGTCTAGCATGTACATGTATAATCTAAGCAAATATATGAGGCTCAAACTTTTTGGAACTTTCGCATTTCAGCCGTTTAGAGTTTTTGGAATGGATTTCTGGCTGTGGGCCTTCGTTAGTCAACACATTGGAACATTGTTGTTTGGGTCGTGAGGCCACTTGGAGGCCGTTGTTAATGTTTTCGGATGTCTCTGTTTTGTTTCCGACAGTCGTATGACAGCCTATCATCCATGACAGCAAGCTCGGACGGCGGCAATGCCTACAGCCGGCAGACGTCGCAAGACGGCAGGGAACCAGGTAAAAAAAGTCACTGAAATATTGAAAAAATCCACTTTAGACAGAGATCTGGAGGTTGTCAGCCTATTAAGAAAAATTGTCTTGGACTGACAGCATTTGAAAAATGTTTCACTTCACGCACTGCTAAAAAGACTTTGTTACATTTCTGAGAGAAATATTCTTGTTTCAAGAAACGATTTCTTGTCCAACTCCCGGGATATTTTTGGAGGTAAAGTAATAAGAAAACATTTCTTGAAATAGGATTATTTTCTAATGGAAAGGAAACCATTTTGAGCTTTGACAGTTTCATAATTTTTAAAATATTAAACTCAAGTAAAAAATTTTTCGACTGAGTAGAAATTCTTTCTTTTTTTTTTTTCTTCCATGTAGGGAGTTTATCAGCCAATGAAGTGGACGAAAGCCTGATGCGTTCGGATTCTGGTCTTGAGACGGCACTAGACCGGGCCAAAGTCTGGTCCAAATATGCCAAAGATGTCATCAGCTACGTGGAGAAGAGAATTCACTTAGGTAGGTTAATATCAAGCAAGGCATGTAGGAGCATTTGCAATTACTTGGAAACGTACCCACCGATTTTACAAGGAAATCCTTGCTCAAAGTGAAGAAGAGTCTGGTACCAAATTCCCCTGTGAAGTTATTCCACGTGAAATGGTATCATTCGGAAGAAAACAGTCACTGAAGGTGCTTTAAGAAAATGTGCCCGTCGGCACAGTTTTTTTTTTCCTGTTTTAGCTACGGAATCCAGTTACAAGACCCCAAAAATTGTGCATATGTCTCCTATGTTTTTTCAAAATTTATTGTATCCACTGAGCTGCAACTTCAACAAGTTATTTGTTATGCTCTTAAGATTTTGTGCAATTTTGTTGTTTCAAAAACAATAGGCAAACGATCCATTGTACCTATGAAGGTCATCCAGTCATTTCCTTTTTGATATTTTTAATAATAATTCCAGGAACAGTAACTTTAAACATCTGAAGCAGGATGTTAAAAACTGATTTAAAAAAAATGTGCACAAGTATTTTTAGAAACATTTCCAAGAATAACTGGACTATGATTTTAGGCAGGATTTTTTAAAAAAAACCTTACTTGTTGAATCATTATATGTAAAATATTGTTGTTGTTGTTTTTTTTTGGGGGGGGAGTGAAAAATCTATGCATGGTTTTTCCACACAAAAACCCATGTTTTCCTTTGGAAAGTTTCAACATTGCATGTGATGAAATTTTGCATGAGGACAATGCAACTTTTTATACTGGACTCCAACCCAAGATGCAACGTACAATGTACACCACTGCCGGACCACATTGAGCTCTACATTCATTCATGAAACGGTAGTTAACGAACAACCTCACAAACAAGGAAAATTACATAGAAATGTATTCAGAGTAATGCACTTGTCAATTGTAACCCGTGGTCTGGGGGACCCTGGCTATAGCGGGGCACTAGCGGGGACCTACGCGAGGGTTTCCAAGAAAAAGGTGCCCCGCTACCCCGGACATTACACCGGGACTGACCCAAGACTTCCAGGGGGATTTCCAAAAAGCATGCCCCGCCGGCCGGGGCATTGCCCCGGGCTAATACCGGGACTTCCAAGCAGTTACTCCGGGACTTACCTTCGGAAAATCGTTAGTCTATATGTACATGAACGACATGCATCAGAATGCGTGGGGATTGAGAAATCAGAAAATCATGAATTGTCTAAGGCAAGACTGAGTGGCCTTAGTTTAGGGCATTATGCCAGGCATCTTTTGCCGGGGCATATGCAGGGACTTCCACATTAGGCCCGGCGTACTATGGCCTGGACTTATGCCCAGCGGTCGGGGGCGGGGACTTACCCATGGGTTCCAAGAAAACAGTGTCCCTGCCCCGTGGCACTTGACTAGAAACTTACCAGGGACTACCCGGGGGTTTCCAAATTGCAATATGGAAATCCCCGGCTAAGTCCCCGCTAGTCCAGGGTCCCCCGGGGTGCAGGTTACAATTGACAAGTGCATAACATTATCTTGCACCTTTGTTCAAAAACTATTAATCTGGTAGGAAGAAATATTTTAAAATCACGACCTCCCTCCGTCCCAAAGTATTTCTTGCCATACATTCATACTGTTTCCCACTCCAGTACTGTAGTGTAAATAAGTATGTATTTCTATGTTTTACAGAGACGGAATTTGCAAGAAGTCTTGCCAAGCTAGCGGTTTCAACTCGCACTAATCTCAAAGAAGAGGTACGTAATGGACGTCTTGGAAAAAAAAGTCACCAACATGTACCAAACAAAATCGGATAAACACTTGCTGGATGACTGAAGATTATTTCTAGTTGTAGTCCACGTCCTGTCTGTGTGATTTATTTTTGAAATGATGTCGCATTACACAATCAGGAAAGACCCCATGAAATCTGTTTGAGTTTCTTTCTCAATAAAATTGATGGAGATTATAAGACATCCAGGTGATATCAATTCAACAAAATTTAAAGAAGACAACTGGACTCGAACCTTCTGGATTGAGAAATGTTTCACGACCTATCCGGGTCGCTTCCTCGGCTCTGAATGGGCGGCGGAAAAGGACCGGTGCTTGAAGAGGCGATGCGATCGTCCCTTCTATTGTTCTGTTGATCACCGGGGTGTGGTGTAGGGGCGTTTTGATTACCCCTATTGTTGTTGCAATGTTGAGGGATTTTCCCGATGGCCGGGGTGTAGATCACTGAGAGGTGATGTCGTAGTCCCCCACCTTGGTTTAAGGACGGGTTCTCACTCTTCACAAAGATGGCCTCTCTAACCCCCTTCTCGAACCCTTTGTCAATTATTAGAACGTTTTTGTCGTCAAAGGAATGTCTTTTTTATCAAGTTTTTTTTTTTACCATTAGCTAGGGAATCAACAGCTTCAGTTGCCGTAAAAATAGAAATCTGTGTGTATTATTGTTTAAAGAGGTTGTGGAATGCTCGAAAACATTTCCGTCATTTTTTGGGTATATGTAGCCTAAGGTGTGATGAAATAAAAACGACTATTGTTTCTGTTATGAAATGAGTACAAAGGGTACTTTTGAGAGCTATTTTTCAGGTCCTGTTTCGACCCGAACGTGCAATTTGTGTAAAAGTCGTCGTTGCGGGCAGCAAACAAAACACAGTAAATCGTGACGTAATAAACGGGACTCGTTTATGCTACTCTGCATTGGGAGTCCTGTTTATTACGTCACAATTTACTGTGTTTTGTTTGCTGCCCGCAACGACGACTTTTACACAAATTGCACGTTCGGGTCGAAACAGGCATGACAGGACTTGAAAAACAGCTCTCAAAAGTACCTTTTGTACTCATTTTATGACAGAAACAATAGTCGTTTTTATTTCATCACACCTTAGGCTACATATACCCGAAGAATGACGGAAATGTCTTCGAGCATTCCACAACCTCTTTAAGTAATATGGCTGCTACTATTCAGCAGCACTTTCTGTTCGATTTTTTATATTGCAAAGTTTCTTTTTTCTAACTCATCTTTTCCTCTCTCTTTTGCAGACGTATTTACCCTTCCAGTCAACTTACCTTACAGCATTGGAACATGTAAGTTGGACCATTTCTTAATTAATTCATCATTAATTTCTTCATTACATTTTTGTGAACCATTTTTCTAAGAGATTCAAGTTTTGGCAAAAATATTCTATTTCCTTGTTCAGTTTTTAGTTTCATGTGTAAAGCCGGTAATTTTTTTAATGTTTTTTTTTTTTTTCATTTTACAGGATGTGAACTATGCTCACAACTGCGATGCTACTCAGTCGCACATCCAGGGACAAAAATTTGTCCAGGTAAGGAAACAAACAAATGGAGAAAACTTGCTTCATACATATTATGCATTTTGTCTCATGAATATGCATTTTTTTCATGCATATATGCATATTTCTATTGGAGTTGTAATGAGATGCAAATGGTCAAGAAAGTTGGTTTTGTTGCAAAATAGTGTAAAATTGCTAATTCCTTGCATTTTCCACTTTTTTCAACAAAATTGAGTTGTAGACGAATAAGAAAATATTTGAAATCTGAGGATGATTTTTTAAAAATTGTGTTTTATTTTATTGTAGCAACTTGAAGCGAGGCGGGTAGAGCACGACAAGAGGAGAAAACAGATCCGCCAAACCTGGACCATTATGAAGAAAGAAATGGTACGGACTCTGTATCTTTATGGCATTCGGATTCTGTACATAACTACGGACATAAAATTAGAAAACACTGCTAATATTGGCAGCTTAGCACTATACACCAGACTCAGGTAGACGCAGACGTGTGCCCATTTGATGGACATGAGTTGCCTGCACTGAACATGTCACCAACATTTGATATGATCTTTTCTGGCTCTCGTACGTTGGCTAATAGTGCCAGCACAAAGTTTCTGCACAAAGTTGATTACTTACACGCAGTTATGCCACTGCATATGTGCAAACTGAAGTTTTCTGGTAAATCATGCTGTCCGTCTGTTGGTTCAAACTTTTTTTTTTTGCAGTCTGCACCCTGTCTGCAACTTATGATAATCTTCTCAACTTAAAGGGAATATACAACATTTGCAAACATCGAAAAATAAAACTACCAAGTTTTTACGAAATACCTAACTAGGATGTTGGTAAATGACAGTCTCAAGCATCTTGTAAAATTATGGCACCAGGTGTGAAGTCATTTTCAAGAAAATGGTATTTTTGTAAACATTTCCAACGGTGGTCGGCCGACCAGCGTTGGAAAAACCTAACTATTTTTCAACTACTGCTCCAAATGTACCATTTTTTCAGTCCAAATTTTGTTTGCTATTGGTTACATGTTCATGAACGGGTGCAGGCCAGCTAGACTGGTTCCCTTGCCTTACAATTTTCCATCATCTATAAATTGATCCATTTTATCTTTTGTGGAGTCAGGGAACCAGACTACTTGAACATTTTTGTTTTTCTTGGTTTTTCCAAACTTTTCAAACACAAAACTTCAAAAATGTCAGTGTAACAATATTTGATCTATTATACCAACCCCCCAAATAGTTCATTTCTGAAAATTATAGCAAAAGCCAATGATGTACATTCCCTTTAAAGGGAATATACAACATTTGCAAACATCGAAAAATAAAACTACCAAGTTTTTGCGAAATACCTTAACAGGATGTTGGTAAATGACAGTCTAAATCATCCTGTAAAATTATGGCACCTGGTATACTGTCATTTTCAAGAAAAGTGGTATTTTTGTATCAATTTCCAACGCTGATCGGCCGATCAGCGTTGGAAACAACTGGCTTTTTTTCAAATACTGGCCCCAATTGACCATTGCACTTGTTTGCAATCGATTACAAACCTATGAACGGGTACGAGCCAGCTAGACTGGTTCCCTGACCTTACAATTCCCCAATGTATGTAAACTGCTCTGTTTCTTCTTATATGGAGTCAGGGAACCAGACTACAGGAAAATGATCGTTTTTCTTGGTTTTTATAGCATTTTCGAACCCAAAACCTCCAAAAAGTCAGTGTAACTATATTTGCTTTATATTTCCAACCCCCCAATTCCAGCCATTTCTGAAAATTACAGCAAAAGCAAATGATGTATATTCCCTTTAATTATTGTAATTTCCCCCTTTGTTTGCCTTCGGCACCTTGCAGCAAGATCGCAAGACCAACCTTGAGAAGTGTCGTCAGCAGTACATCAACCGTTGCCAGGAGTATGAGAAAAGCAGCGAGTCGACCGCCAAGACGGAGACTGAGATCTTGAATGCCAGCGGCGGGTCCAACGCCGGCAAGCTGGAGAAGAAGAAGAAGGCCGAGGAAGATGCTCTCGGGAAGGTATTATCCATGCTGAATTCACAACCACCAGTTTTATTTTATTTTAGTTATTTATTTTTTTCCAAATAAACCACAGTGAGAAACTGACTTGGTTGATAATAATTTTTCAAAAGTTGAACAAAGACATCAACTGGAGCTGGGCTTGAACCTGCATCCTCCGGATTGCCGTTCCGGTGCTCTACCAACTGATCTATCCAGCCCTATGTTGGCGGTTCCCCATTTTGTCAGTGTCGTTCAAAGATGAAACTTTTCAAATTTTAATCGGAAATCAGATTTTTGTACCTTTCCAGTGAAATTTCAGATTTTTTAACGATATCACAAAAATTGTTAACAATTTTTTTCACAATTTTTTTTTTTTTCATTATAATTTAAAAAAAAAAGTCAATGAAAAGTCTGTAAAACGGCACGTAAAGATTTCCACAAGTGAATAGTTTTAATTCTTTTACCAGTCGTGAATGGAGTGATTCTATGGTAGAAACACCTAGGCCAACGCTGATCAAATCCTTTTTCGGCTGGAGAAAAGGTTAAATACCGATCTATGACATTGACAAATTCACTGGGTACCACATGATTTGCTGTGCTGCACTTCACTGCGCGACGCTGTGGCAGCTCGGACCCAAGGTTCAATTTCAGATTTTTTTTGACAAGGCCAGCTTCATCTCTGGTCTTAGTTCAAGGGGTGCTAGACAGAAGCCATAAACCCGTATATATGCCATGTAGCCAGGGATCATGCCCTAAGTCACGATGCTAGCAACGCTAGAGGATGCAGCCAGTTCTATTGTTGAGACCATTACAAGTAATGATGAAGTAAATTAGTAGAAAGATTGTGGGTAACACCATGTGGAAAGTAATCTCTTCTTGGAAGAAGTGTGGTTCTGAAAAGAACCGGTTGCTTGAGTGTAGAACTCGACGTTGCCGGACAGTGTGCTCTGTCCGTCCTCACCCTCTCACCCTCCTGAGGACAGACAGAGCACACTGTCCAAAACGTCGAGTTCTACAACTCAACCAACCGGTTCTTTTGAGAACCACACTCCTTCCAAGAAGAGATTTCTTTCCACATGGTGTTACCCGCAATCTTTCTACTTTATCTCATCAGCCATGCAAAGCTTCAAGTCATATGAGCTCCGTGCGCCAACGAAAGAGGGCGCCCTTTTACCTAGCAACGACGTCCCATGGGCGGGACATTTAGCTGGTTGACGCGCACCATTCTTTGTACTTTGTGTGTGACGCACGTACACCAGGGAATTTGTACTATGTACACGCAGTGGTACGGCCGCGCGTCGCGGCAAAATTGCAATCAGGCAAGATGGCGTCGTTCGGTCACCCCTAACTGTACTCTGTTTGCCGGTGAGGGGGTACTTGTGAACGGAGCGGATATAATGATGAAGTACATGTACTGAACCTAGTGAAACGGAACTGAAAGAATTATTTATGTGTAAAGAACTACAAAAATACTCATATCAAACTGTTTTGTCCTTCCGGTGCTAGGCTAAGGAAGCAGAAACGACATACAGGGCATGCATCTTTGAGGCCAATGCCAAACGAAAGGAGATGGGCACAGTTAAGGTAAAAAGAAATAAATGGTTCAATCAAGCCCGGTTCATACTTCATGCCGTCACAACTACGCGTTCGCTTTGCGCCGAGTATGAATCAGGCTTTACAGAGGATTCCAAAGTTTGCTTCCACATGTCCTACTAGTATTTCTTAGTCTCATTATTATGTAAATCTTTGACCACTGTTGTCTGTATGTTCGTCAGTCCGTCCTTGGTTATTGTTTGTGTTTTATTTGTACTTGTATATTCGTTTGTCTGTTTTTCTTTAAACTCTTCGAAATTGTTTTTTTTTTTACATATTTGCATTAAAGGGAAGATACAACATTTGCAAACATCAAAAAACAAAATGATCAAATTATCACAGAATATCTTACTGGATTGTTAGGGACTGACAGTCCAAAGCATCCTGTAAAATCGTGGCTCCTGGTGTGCTGTTATTTTCAAGAAAACTTGTATTTTTCCAACGCTGGTCGGCCGACCAGCGTTGGAGAAAACTGGCTTTTTTCAAAACCTGCTCCTAATTTTTCATATTTAGTTATTCCGCATTGTCTTTGCAATTTTTTACATACCTGTGAAATGGTACAAGCCTGCTAGACTGATTCTCTGACCTTACAATTCCCCAAAGTCTATAAATTGCTCTGTTTAATCTTAAGTGGGGTCAGGGACCCAGACTTCAAGAACATGGTTGGTTTTCCTGGATTTTCCAGCATCTCCGAACCCAAAACGTGAAGTCAGTTTAACAATATTTGCTGTAACATACTAATCCTCCAAATCCATTTATTTCTGAAAATTGCAGCAAAAGCAAATGTTGTACATTCCCTATAAGTATACATGTACATGTAGGCTTGCCCCTATAAGCTTAGTTTTTTTTAAAATCTTTTCTCAATCTTAAAATAACTACTTTTTGTTCTCATGACACTTTTACTTCGTTTTTGATGGAAATAAGTGTTATTGAAATGGAATTGAAATGGAAAACTGTCAAACCATTTTTAAAATTTTTTTTTTATTCTCTTTTACAGAAAGATCTTTTGGTCAAAGTCCGGGAACTTATTTACCAGTGTGACCAAACAATGAAAGCAGTAAGTTTTTTTTCCTGATTTCAGATAAAGTTTTTACTGAATGAAATTGATAATTTCTATATTCTGTTTGGTACGATGGCATATTAACTACCACCATGTCATAAATAATGTAACAGTTACTTGCTTTATCTACATATCTAAAACACAAATCAAAGCAAGTAAAACACAATATTGACGCAGAATTTTGTGAACATTAAAAAAAAACTTTTTATAAAAAACACTTGGAGGTTGAGGTAAACCTTGAGAGATTTGTTGCCAAGGAAACCACAGCTGGCTCCTTTCCCAGTGATGGGCATAATTGGGTTACTTTGCACTAGGAAGGAGTTCAGGAACCTGACCGAATCTCTTCTTTTGTTCCCAACCGCAGGCGACAGTCAGTTACTTCCAGTTGCAGCATTCGCTCTCTGCTCCGGCCCCCGTCCAGTTCCAGACGCTGTGCGAGCAGAGTCGGTGCTACGAGCCGGGCGTCCAGTACGCCGAGTTTGTCAAACACAAGTCCCGTGTCAAAGGTCGCGCGGCCAAGCACGAGGAGCCCTTTGTGTTTGAGCGCTACATGTAAGTTTCGGTCACTCTTGGTGGAAATATTCACCAGCAGTTTGATTAACATTTTAGTAATTAGGTTTAAACCTTCCCTAATACAGTGTTCTTAATGAGAATGCAAGATGAAACTTCACAAGTTTATGGCAAATTTCTATGGGAAGAATGCTTTCAAGCCCTTTGCCATGCACAAAGCAGTGAGGCTGCCACAGGTCACTTTGTGGACTCCCAACATGGCTGCTGCTGCACTTCAGTGCACAGCTTCATATACATTTTGGAACCCCCAAAATGGCTTCCCAGTGACTTCAGTCTGTAATTGTAGTGCACTATCCAGTCATCAGTATAGCACTGTAGGGCCCACTTTCATGGCGCTGCTAACCACAGACCTCCGCGCTTACGATCGCCATTCTATGCTAACCATGCAAGCAGAAAAATTCCGGACTAAGCCAGTAAGCACAGAATCGTTAGTTACGGGATGTACGCATGTGCACAAGCCAAAATTCCTCGCTAACCTGTGAAATATGATTACTGTAAGCACGGAAGTTTCTGCTGCAGTAAGCAGGGATTTTTTGCTAAGCAGAACCATGAAATTGGGCCTTGCGCACATCATCATCATATTAAATGATTTTTTATGGTAATCTTATTTGGTGACTGATAGGGTATTTGACAAGACACGTAAGCCCAGCTCCCATTCAGTGGACAGCACGGAGGACGACCGGGCCAGCTCCCCAAGCAAGCTGGGTCAAGGGTCACGCAGCGGCAACTCACCGGAGAGAACCGGTAAGAACGACGGTCTGTCCTTTATAGATGGGACTGTCGGTGGTTAGTGGATGGGGATGTCAGTGTTTAGTGGATGGGGCTGACTGTGTTTAGTGGATGGGGATGGTGGGGTTTAGTGGATGGGGCTGGTGGGGTTTAGTGGATGGGGATGTCAGTGTTTCGTGGATGGGGATGTCAGTGTTTAGTGGATGGGACTGTCAGTGTTTAGTGGATGCGGATGTCGGTGTTTAGTGGATGGGGATGGTGGGGTTTAGTGGATGAGGATGGCAGTGTTTAGTGGATGGGAATGGTGGGGTTTAGTGGATGAGGATGGCATTGTTTAGTGGATTGGGATGTCAGTGTTTAGTGGATGGGGATGGTGGGGTTTAGTGGATGGAGATGTCAGTGTTTAGTGGATGGGGATGTTAGTGGATGGGGATGGCAGGATTCAACTCTTTCTTGAAGAATCCCATTGCCAGAAAGAAAAAAAAAGGCATAAAGTAAGAAAAGGAGTAACAGTGTTGTACCTTTAAATCTCAACGCGACAAACTTCATTGAATCGATAGCATAAAATGCACATCTGCATATACAAATGAATTTATGCAATAAACGGAGGCACCAAGTGTCATGCCGTCTGCCTCACCTTTGTTTCAGCTCCAGTGAAAGATTTTCACTCCTAAGGTACACTGCAATTGGCAAAACTTGAACATAAGGGCTAACATGACAAATTCAGTTCACATGGGGTTGACGTATGCAACAAACCATATTATCTTGTTTAACTTCGCCCTTGCATTGTAATTTACTGGCTTTGCTGAATAAACCCTGTGCGCAAAAAAAATGAAGTTGTTTTAGGGTTTAGATTGTTTTAAATTCGTCGCGTCAGTGCAACAAGGTTTTAACTCCATTATGCAACAAAGTCATATCTCGCACGAATACGCTCCGTGCAACAAGGTCGTATCTTAACGTCCATTGACTTTGCATGTTCATCCGGGTTATTTTAAGCGAGATACGACATTTTGACATTCTGAAACTTGTCTTTCATGTACGGCCCATTTTAGGAGATATGACCTTGTTGCACGTACACAACGAATTGCTCGTTTGTTACATCTGATCATTCTCCTACGCAGACAAATCCAAGCCCGTCCATGCCTGGGGGGCAGGCACCGCACCGGCCAACACGCAGGCCGCCAGCGACTCGGACAGTCTGAGCGGCAGCTCCACCAAGTCGGTGGAAGCCTCGCCCTCGGCCAGCCCCATGAACGGCCATCGGAACCTGAGCAGAGAAGCCTCGACGGGAACCATGTCATCAGGGGACGAACTGGCCGACAACGAGGACAGCAGACCTGTCTCTACTGGCACTAGTAAGTCGCAACAAAAAACTTGTGGGAATTCACTCTTTGTGACCTGTCGCCACAAATTGAGTGCAGAGTCAGACTTTTGAAGAATTGAGATATTTCTATTTCTGTATTCTGTAGAACAAGAGCTTTCAAATGGTATATAGCATATGTGATGCGATCAAGCTAAATGAGTCGTTTGTCAGGAATTTTCAGTTGGAGATTCGGGCCAAAATAGGGCCACTTCATCACATCACTTGATCACATTTCTTGGTGTTCCGACTTCCATAATTGTTTTAACTAAAGATGGTATCAGCATGCTGTTTTCACAGCAGTAATGCTGAGATTGTGCTCTTTTCAAATCTGTAATAAAAAAAAAATTGACCAGGGTCGACAAACGACTCATTTAGCTTGATCGCATCACATATAGGGGTACTGAGAAATATAGACCACCAATTAAATTGAAGCCGCTGAACTAATGTTTGAGAAGATGCAATTAACAATCCCACTGTTGTATTAAAATGAATGAACAGTCAATTAACACAAAGGGATTAAAATTGGTTCTGAAAATGTTTGAGAGCATAAAAACAATTGGGGAAAGGTAGAACAGGACTTTCAGATTGAGGTTCTTCTGAAAACAAAAAGTCGACCACTCCTTCAAATTTTGAGTTTTAAGTAAATAGGTCTGACTTAAACATTGGTACTGATATTTACAAATGATTGCGTTGCTTTGATGATTGCAATTTTTAGATATATAAACTATACCCCCTTTTGAGTATTTGTATTGAAACCTACCCCCTATTCACAACTTGGAGTGTAATCCTCATTCAGTCTCCGTCACCATCTCCCCCTCGCAGAGCTCATCGAGCCCGTGCCCAGCTCCTTCCGCAATCTTGCCTTCACCAAAGCCGCCCAGACCCACCAGATCCGCAAGCTGCGCACGCCCTCCAAGTGCCGGGAGTGCGACAGCTACGTGTACTTCAACGGCGCCGAGTGCGAGCGCTGCGGCCTGGCCTGCCACAAGAAGTGCCTGGAGTCCCTGGCCATCCAGTGCGGCGGCAAGCGCCTGCTGGGACGCATGAACGTCTTCGGGGTCGGGCTGAAGGACCACCTGCGGCTGACGGGCCGGGAGGCGCCGTTCCTGGTCACCAAGTGCTGCGGGGAGATTGACCGGCGGGCGCTGCACATCAGGGTACGTGATTGGTCCAGGACAGATGATTTTTCATTTGGTTGAATGAACGGTGTGTGTTGTTGGATCTGATTCAGGTTTTAAGTATGGGCAATTCCAGCATTAGGCCAAAGTCTAAGGTTTCTGGTATGGAGCTTGCCAAAAAAGTGGTGCGGCGACGCGGCTTTTTTTTTTTTTTTACCTGATTTTTTGCTTCAAATGTCGGCTGATGACTGTCAATGGTGCCCGACTAAACTTAGTGCAAATATATGGGAGTCCAGAGAGGCCACATAAACCTTATTCTCGACCATAACCCAATCTAAAAACACGTTAAAATTGTGCAGCAGCAGGATTCCAGTCAAACCAGTGAGTTTGGCGGTTTTGAGACATCATCTTTCATTGAAAAAAAAACTTTTTCATTTTGCTGACGCGCATGGCTACGGCGAACTTTTTTTTTTGGCCTTATACAATGAAGTGTAATAATTATGATAATATTGGCTTCTTGTATAACGCTCATGTCCATCACGAAGTGACGCTCCTGGCGCTCCAATATTACCCTGCCATTACGGCGCTGAAGCATTTGAAGGAATTTCTTCCTACCAGGTACACATTTACTACACCTGGGTGGAGAGAGGCAATCGTAGTAAAGTGCCTTGCCCAAGCGCACAAGCGCCATGTTCCCCGTCAGGATTTGAACCCATGTACCACGGCACACGAGTCGAACACCGTAACCATTGGACCACAGCGCCCCACAAATGTCTGCGACAGCCAGTTAGCCATGATATCTAAATTACCCATTCAGAGAAATGATCCAAAACTCCTAGTCTGTAATCTCCTTGACCATTACTAGATGATGGATGTATAAGATTTCAAAAACACATTTTCAGGTTTATTAACTGAGCTCTTAAAAGCTCTGTCACGGACATTACGTAACGCTGGAAATGCCCTAATAATGCTTAAAAGAGAAGTGCGTTTATCAACAATTGTAATATTTTAATTTTTATTTCAGGGTGTTTATAGGGTGGCTGGGCTAAAGGTCAAAGTTGAGAAGCTGTGTCAGACCTTTGAGAATGGTCTTGACCTCGTTGACCTATCAGAGACACCGCCCCATCTCATCACCAGCGTGCTCAAACTCTACCTCAGACAAGTAAGTCATTATCATATCTGCAAAATGGGTCATTCTATTAATTTGGGATCCACTTTTTGTCTTGTCCCTGTTTCATCTGGCATCTATGATTTTATAATTCTGATGCACTCCTTAATGCAGTCATCCCCCAAGAGTGATTATGAATAGCAAACTACACTGTACCTACCTACCCAACGAAGAAAAAAAGTTTCGAAGTAATTCTTAAATACTGATACTTAAATGGCAAATGACAAATTTTAGAGGTAGCAGGGACAAGAAAAAAATGTCACACACCCCAAATCTATAGAATGACTTGCATTCAGTAGTAATAAAAAGAATTGATAAATTGTGAAGCCAGAACCTCTGTTCTGGGTATTTTATCTACCGTGCAAGTTAATAGTCCCAGAAAAGTTGTGTTGTTTCCAAACAACGGCTTCGTTTGCAGCTTCGTCTGCATCTCTGGCACAAGAACCATTTTGAATCCTTAAATGTCCAAACCAAATGGACGCACTCTGAACTTTAGTCTCGTATTATAGAATTTGATGATTCTAAGGCAGAGCATGAACCTATGTTGAGTCAGAGTCCTCTAGTTTAGGGGGCCTTTAATCTCCTGAAGATGAAGCTGGGAATGAACCCCAGGCTTGGAAAAAATGCTGGTTCAAACTCTGCGTGACAGTGAACACGAAACGTGCATTTGTGCCCACTCAAAAAATGATGCCATTTCAGAAATTTGCTTCTTTTGATGTGTATGTTTCTAAAAAGCATATATTTCTTTCGCGTTTGCGTCAATTACAATCCTTTACGGGACCTTAAGGTTTGAGGTTAATTAGTGTTTTGAAAATCCTTGATACATTCTTGTAGCTCCCTGAGCCCCTGCTGACATTCAAGCACTACCCGGAGTTTGTCAATATTGCCAAGGAGTTTCCCCGCAGCCTCATAGAGAGCCCGGAGGAGGAGGAGCGATTGATCACCAAGCTGCGGGCCATTGTGACCAGCCTGCCGGAGGAGAACTTTAAGACGCTGAGGGTCCTCATGCACCATCTCAAAGGGTGAGTCCCTAGTAGAAAAGGTCTCTCTCAAATGATTTCATTTCCTACAGACCAGCCACGTGCATTGGCAGTTTGAGCGTCAACTTGCTCGTATTTTCCAGCAACAAGCGCGCATGTTTGGAACAGTTTCAACACTACGCAATGCGTGCTTGATTGCGTAAAATACTTAGTTGCAGTTCTACAAAGATGGCTGTCTTTGAGAGAGATCTATTAGGGAAAGAGGCGTGGACTAACTGTTTTCTTTTTTAGAGTAATTAGGCTCTGTAGACTTCATGAGCAGAAAACAGTGTTGCTGCAACAAGCCCAAAGCATTGCGGGCTTATCCACAAGCCAGAAATTTCTGAATTAACTTCTGCGTTTTCTAAGACCATACTGATATTTGAAAGGTCATCGTGAAAGTTTGATACCTGCATTTGAAGTTTAGATGCAATCCAGGGTTTTACCTAAATAGTGCCATATTTCCAAATGCTTTAGTGGTTGTTAATGGTCTAACAGTCACAAAAGAGCCACTGAATTTGAGGGCATTTAAGAACATTTGCAATTAACCACAAACGTGCCCACCGATTTAAGGAGAAAATCCTTGCTCAAAGTGAAGATAGGACTCGTACCAAATAGGCTGTGAAATTATTCCGCCTGAAATTGTATCGTTTGGAAGAAAATCATTAAAAAACGGTGCCATGCAGGCACAGTTTTTACATGCATTAGCAGTGGAATCCAGTTAAAAGACCCAAAAATTGTGGAAACATTGGCTCTGTTTTCTCAATATGTGTAGTATCCACTGAGCTGAAAGTTCAACAAGTTTAGTTGTTAGGCACCCTTCTTAAGATTTTGAGCAATATGTTCCTTCAAACGAAAAAAAATGAACAAAAAGCAAATCGTCCTTTTATCTTTAAATATCAAACTGCTTCCTTTGTCGCCAGCGTGTCTGAAAACGAAGACTACAACCAGATGACAGCCAGTAACTTGGGCATCGTGTTTGGACCCACCCTCCTCAAGCCAAAGTAAGTGGCGGGAAAAGTTGGACTTATTATCTCTAGTTTTATCATAGAACTGAAACTGCTTGAATAAGTTTCACTAAGATATATAACAAAAACAGGTAACCTGCTAATTTGAGTGTATATATTGCTTTTTGGCTGGTACTCAGGTTTATTTTCCTGAACCTTCAGCAAAGCCAATTTTTGTTGCTAGTATGCAGCCTCAATCCTGCGAAATCCTCCAACTGACTCCATGTAAAACTTGCATACAGCTTCAATCCTCCAAAATCATCCGTTGTTTCTTGAATGTGGTCCTTTGAGGGTTGACCACTGCCTCAGTCCTGCAAAATCCTCCAGCAATCACTCTCAATATGTTGAGGCAGAGCCAGTGACATCCTGGAGCAGTGCGGAGGATTTCAAGTATAGTCTAGGCCTGAATTTAAGCACGGCTGAGCATAAACAACACAAGGTCCGGCCCAAGACCTTGACACAGTGCATCCTCCCAAATCAGCCACACATTGTTGCCATATAGCCTCAATCCTGCAAAATCCTCCATTTTGCAAAGATGATTTTGGAGGATTTGGGAAGGTTGGGGTTATAATGAAGCAGGCCTCACTCAAAGTAAGCAAAAACAAAACACTGCACACTTTATAAGATTTGAGGCTTTGCAGGGTGGAGTAACGGTATCGTTTCAGTTTGCGGTAACACCATGTGGTAATAACTACTGCTTAGAAGATATTTAGTTCTGAAAAGAACTTGTCCTGCTTATTATCAACTTTCACCTAGTAGTTTTTGTTCTGATAAGAACAGTCCTGCTTTAAGTTCTAAAGAGACCAAAGACAAGTTCTTTTAGAACTTAAAGCAGGACTGTTCTTATCAGAACAAAAACTACTTAGCGAAAGTTGATAATAAGCAGGACAAGTTCTTTTCAGAACTAAATATCTTCTAAGCAGTAGTTGTTACCACATGGTGTTACCGCAAACCGAAACGATACTGCAAACTTTGTAAAATAGATTTTTGTAGTCATCTTTTGTTTTCCAATCCCTTTTACAGTGACAACACCGCGTCCCTATCTGCCTTAGTGGACATGCCCTTCCAGACGAGAGCCATTGAGATGTGTGTAGCCTACGCACAGGTGAGACCAAAGAGTTGTCTCCACAAGGATACGCATTCCAGTCGGGGGCGGATCCAGAATCCAATTTTTTTGGGGGGCAAAAATAAAAATTGGTTCCCTAAGAAGTGGGTCCTAAAAATTACAGCGTGGGGTTCGGGGCCCGCTTAAGGGCCCCGAAAATTGTTTGGATTCTTGATGCTCTGTGGTGCGATCTGAGGCAATTTCTGACCATTTTGACCAATTTTTTCTGGAGGAAAAGATGGTGGTGTATGCAGTGCCTGCTTTTATTGCGACCTCACTTAGAAAAAAAAATAAAAGTTGGTTTCGTTTTTTGGGGGGCCGTGGCCCCTGTAGGCCCCCTCCCCCTGGATTCGCCCCTGATTTCAGTATGGATGGCTAGGTCAAAAATATACTGCATTTCTCTACAAGGTTGTGCAAAAAGATTGAAACCCACTTTTGACAGCAATTTTCACCTACTTGTTGAGAGCATATTTCAAAATTTCAATTTAATGGTATTAAAATAGTGATCTTTAAACATAAGTGACAAAAAAATGATTGCAATTGCATATTTTGTCTCTTGAGATAGGGTAGTTAAAAAATGTCTTGTGCCAAACCTGTTTGCCTACGAACGGCTTTATTCCATCCGCTTGACTGAGCTCCGGGGCTTTTTATTTATTTTTTGTATTCTTGTGTCTCACTATTTCTAGTGTGTTTTTTGTTTTCCAAAGGTGTTCGGTAGCCGCGAGACACCAGTGGAACAGTTTCACCCGGAACCGAGAGAACCTTCCCCCACGCTCCCAGAACTGAACCAAGGTAAGGAAAAGTCGGCGAAAAAAATAAATAAAGACCGACCATTTTAATAATGTATGCTGGAGCATTAATAATTCTAGATCCTGTTTGAAGGCTTCAAATTACAGTTCAATCATGTAAAGTCCAAAATGGTGATCACGTTTTCAGTCCCAACGTGATTCGGAAGAATTTTTAACTTTAAAAAAAATTTTCCAACAACTTTCGCATTTTCTTCACCACATCTGATCAGCAAGGAATGAGTTTTGTTGCTTCAAATGGAAAAAAAGAAATTTGTCTGACTTCTTCTTTGTTTTCATCGTTTGTTCATCTTACAAAAGGTACAGGGAGTAACTCCCCCAACAAAAGCACTAACAACTCCACCCACATGACCTCGCCCGCCGTGGATACGACCCGGGGTCGTCGCCGGGTGCCCGGCTTTGCGTTGCCGGGCAGCAGCGAGGACAGTGAGGACATCTTGCCATGTTTGGCTGCCGACGTCGGATCCGGGGAGGAAGGTGATGGGGACAGCTCTGGGAACGAGGGCGAGGCAGGTACAGTATGGACAGAATCAACTTATGAAGCCCATAGGATTATTAGTAATAAGCCAGTTCCGTATTCCAAAATCGTCTGGAGCACAGCAAGAATTGACGAATTTTTTTTCGCGAAAACCGCAGCAGATAAATGCACACAAAGCTACAGGGGATGTGGTAACCAAATCTACATTCTGTGCAATTTTTTTGACACACAAGACACCTAATAAAAATAGTTCGCTGTTCAAATTTTTTTTTTGCAAAATGTTTTATTTCAGAACACCATAATCTCTTCAATTTTGCTGGTACCCCACTATACTTTTACATGCATACGATGAAATTTGTATCCCGAAAGAAAAATAGGCAAATCTTGATGTGCGCATGTGAAGTGGGAATACCGAACTGGATTATTACCATATATAACAGTTACCTTGAAAGTTACCTTGATAACAGAAGTTTAAGTTAAGGATGTGACTTTGTGATTAGCAAATATTTAAAGAATCGTTTAAACGTGTAAACGTTTAGCCATTTGACAAAGGCTGACGTGTTCCCATTACATGTATCTCTGCAGATCGGCGTGATTGACATGATAAATCAACAATGATTGACGTAATAAATTGGGGGCAGTCATTGAAAAGTAAAAGCTTAACTATGTGTACCTCCAATGTAGTCAAGTGTAGGCCGCTGCAGTGCTTCTAATGTTTCGTAAATTAACTATTGTCGAAGACGTCGTTAATTATTTGTGCTATGTATGTTAAACTCAAAGGAAGATCGTATGAACGTAGGTCCCTTTTTCATAATTTGGGTTTCGTTTTGGAAAATTAGTAAACTGATTTAGAATTGGTTTTGCATCCTTAGTTTAAGTCAACCCATACTTGAGCCCATCTGTAAAAAAAAGTTGACAGCACAAAACAGTTGCAATCAAATTAGCAGAGAATTTTTATACTTGATGTCTCAAATTGACATTGACATTCTCTTTCTAGCCGGGTAAAAAGAACTGGCATTTACTTGCAGTAAAGAAAAGACCAGTTCAAAACTTTTTCAACTTATCCCTTCTTTTACATTTTCATTGAGAAGCTTGACATTCGCTAGAGAGCAAGCTTAACTTTTCTCCAGATTTAGCACTAGAATCAAATGCTAGCTATTAACCGAGTCCTTTTTAAAAAAAATTGTTCAGAAGAGGCATCTGCCAGTGAAGACCAACCAGATTCGGATCAGGACACGTCACCCTCCGTCCCCCGCCGGTCCGCCAAGCAGCAGCACCCCCTAGAGTCTTCCCCACAGCCTATCAAACAGACCCTCCTGTCGGTGGCTAGTCAGTACCACAAGACCCACTTGTCCTCGTCCTTGCCCGACGCCCTCAGCCCGTCGTCCCCCGACACCTCCGGTCAGACGTTGACCTCCTCGCCGGGCCTGCATTCCCCGTCGGCCCAAGAGGGCTACGTCCCCAGCGCGTACTCGGCCGACCCCCCGCAACGCCAGGTGCTGATGACCGAGGGGCCGAGGTCATCAAGGCGTCGACGCCGGGGGGCGCGGCATCGAACCCACCCTCCGCGTCTTCAACGCCAACCGAGTCCAGAGATCAAACGGGACCCTCGACGCAAACCAAACCAAAAGAGCCCCGGTCAACTAAATCGCGACAGCCGCAGTTTGTTTGAAATCTCCGATCTGCCTGGAGCAGGATCGGAGGATCGAATTTTTATTTATTGAAAGAACAATGGATTTAACGTGTGCTTTTTAAGGTGAACGGATTTGCAACAATTCTTTAATCCTCATCTGGGAACTATCATTGGATACCCAACTTTGTGTATGTGGAACTTCGGGGGGGGGGGGGGAGAAGTTCTTTTTTCACGCTTATGAACGGGACTGGTGTGTGTTGTAGCACATACTGGACCAGAAGTAGTGCAAAATATTGTTTTTGTACTTACGTCCGGGCCAGTGCAGTTAACTGGGTTGACTTTAAGACCTGCGTACTGGTTTTAAGAGTCTGCCATTTCCTGCAAAGGAAAGAATGAAGAATAATTCTATGCAAAGTGTTGTACCTGTTAGCTGTAACGCACTTGAACAAAATTGGTTTGGTATTGTTGCATGTCGTAGATCGAAGGGACGTAATTCTCGAACAAATCGTCAATTGAGTACGAGTACAGTATTGAAAAAGAACAAAGGTCAAAATAAACACACACACTGAATAGTTCAGAAAGACACTATTTGTATTTTTGTATTTATACAAAATTGATAAATTATATTTATTTCATATATAGTAATGAGTACCATCGTATGATGTATTATTTAGAAGGAGAATTGTTGAGCAATGATGCCTTGTGTGGAAAACACAAATTGTAGTTGTTTTTTTTTTAATTCCATGGTTGCCATGGTGATATTTATTACTCAGTTGGAACCATGGTAACACATTTTGCTTACTTCTGTATTTGGGAACGATTGCATTCTCAGAATTTTGCAAGCACAGAACAAAAAAGTTAAATGCTATTTTTCACCAACTGGCATTTTCAAAAGTCTCCCACTAAAATTTGAATTAGATTTACTATTAGTTTATCTTCTTAAAAATAAATGAATTTAGAGAAATCTGCTTTGCATCTCAAAAGCTTTATCCTGTAAGCAGAAAAAATAAAAACACTGACTCCCATTCGTGACTAGTGTGGTTTCCAAAACTTGCTATCCGGTAACCGCTGAAATATGTTGAGCAAAACTTTAAAAGTTGTGAGGAATTCGCATACTTCCAATAACATACATGCAAAGAGGTTTCTAAACAAGTCTTTAAAGAGGTTTGGTTGGGCTCTTTCAAAAAATCAGAGAATAATTTAAAACCTGAACAAAGTAATTGACTGGCGTGGGGTTTGAGCCAGAGTTGTAACGAGTCACTGTTTTTTGTGACTCGAGTCGAGTCGAGTCATTTTAAAGAAGTGACTCGAGTCGAGTCGAGTCATTCGGTCAAGAAGGTCGAATTTAGTCACAGTGTGTAGTCGAGTCGAGTCGAGTCGAGTAATGTATTTAGCTCGAGTCAATTCGAGTCACAAATATTTGACTATACAATTAATAACACAAAAGAGAAAGTCATGTTTTGGGCTTTTTTAATTTTACATTCGGGCTACTACATGCGGTGACACCACATTTGATTCGTAATGAAAATAAAAAGGGGTTGCCAGCTGATCGCCTTCAATTAATGGGGACACTGATCAAACCACGTATGTATATGTATACATTATTCGCGAACATTCTAACGTGACGTGAACAAAAACCGGCACCGGCGTAAGTCATTTCGTAAAGTTTTGCTTTAATTTTTGGGACTCGAGTCTCATTAGCCTTCCTCGAGTCGAGTCGAGTCATTTTGATGAGGGACTCGAGTCGAGTCAAGTCATTTGCCCTTAGGGACTCAAGTCGAGTCACCAAAAATTGTGACTCGAGTTGGACTCGAGTTGGGTCATTGACTCGAGTCATTACAACTCTGGTTTGAGCCCAGTGCTCTAGCAACTGAGCTTTCCAGCCCTATCTTGGCGTTTCCCCAGCTTGTCGATGCCCATGTTCAAGGGCCCTAATTGGAAGCCATCAACCTGCATATGCCATGTAGCCAGGAATCACACCCAAGGTCAAGATGCTAGCAACATTAGCAATGTTGCGAAACTGGGAAATAGAAAAAAGGGATCACTCAAACAAACGAAAAAGGAAAAGCATACCGTACGTTTGCAAACTCGGTTTCCAGTTCCACCTAAACTTGGAAGCCATAAACCTGCATATGCCATGTAGCGAGGGATCACACCCAAGGTCACGATGCCAGCAACATTAGCAATGTTGCAAACCTGGGAAATAGAAAAAAGGGATCACTCAAACAAACGAAAAAGACAAAGCAAACGGTACGTTTGCAAACTAGGTTTCCGGTTCCACCAAAACCTATTAGAATGCCATGCACATTGGTTGTGATCAGTTCTGGGTTGATTTTTTCTTATCCCGTAAATGTGCTAAGCAATATAGTTATTGCTTAGGCCAAAAAAAAAAGTCTCCGGTTTCTGGTATGCGCACGCGTCGCCGTAGCCATGCGCGTCGGCAAAATGAAAAAGTTTTTTTTCCAATAAAAGATGATGTCTCAAAACTGCCAAACTCACTGGTTTGACTGGAATCCTGCTGCTGCACAATTTCAACGTGTTTTTAGATGGGGTTATGATCGAGAATAAGCTTTATGTGGCCTCTCTGGTCTCCCATAATATTTGCACTAAGTTTAGTCTGGCACCATTTGCAGTCATCAGCCGACATTTGAAGCAAAAAAAAACAGGTAAAAAAAAAAAAAAAGCCGCGTCGCTGCACCACTTTTTGGGCAAGCACCATACCAGAAACCGGAGACTTTTTTTTTTTGCCTTACCGACTCCTTTTTAAGTTGGCTGTGTTCCATTGTGGACAGGAGGGATCTGTAGAGATACCGATTTTAACTATTTAACCATTTTTACACTCTACCTCATGAAAACTTAGACCAGACATTGTCCTACTAGTGCATAGAGACATATTGCAAAATCCACACGTTTGTTATAAAAAGTGAGTGTTTACAAAGTATGCTAATCTGCCAGTTTGGACGCTGAAGGTGCTGCGGCATTATTACCCCTGCTCATCAGGCCTACAAAGTGTTCGTAAATACCTATCTAGTCTTCTCCAGGAGAGTAGAGCTTCAAACTGTAATTTTTGATGCCAAAAAGTAGATCCAAAGCTATTATTGCGACAAAGTGTCTTGCCCAAGGACTTTTGCATTCAGATGATGATCATTAGAATATAGATATTGAAGATGATTTCATACTGTAGAATGTGCAAGGACAGAATGTTTTGGTACTTTATATCTCCAAATTTGGAGTTTTCTGTTTTAGGGGCTTCATAGTTATCTTGATCCTTGTTGAGTCCTCGAAGCAAATTTGTATGAACGAAAATATCATGGCTATTCTTGCTCACTGAAAATTGAGATCTAAATAAGCAACGGTATTGCTGTGATGAAGAAGGCAAGGTGGAACGGAGTTGTACTGAAATGCATCACCGATTGGCATCGTAGTTGCTGTTCGTTCACCGTTCAAAACTACTTGTATATTTTGTGTACAAAATCTTTGTAGCCACTATACAAACCATGAATAATTTATATGCTCATATATCAGTGCTGTTTTATTGTAATGTACGCGCATATCGAACAGAGTAACCAAAACCGCCTCTATTACGTGGGCACTTTTTTCAAACAAAATAACGACTACAACTCATCTGTATTGTTTGCCGTGTGCTGAGTTCCAGTTCTTGAAATTTTGTATAAATTTAGCAGCTACGAGGCTGTTAACGATTTTATTCTCTATACCATGTTCCGTGACCATTTTTGTGGTATCTATTCGGGCTAAGCACCTGTTGATTAGGAGCTTCTCTGTTATGGAAACTATGTCGTCCATTGAATACTTTATCAATATTCATTTGTAAATACCTGAGACAGTTTACCATTTCCTATTGGTCAAGAGCCTGTCACGCGGGTGGTTTTAAGCTGCCGGTAAAGCACTGCTGCATTCTGTGCCACATCGTGCAGTGCGTGCTGCACTCGCATGCCAATTTCCATGTAAGGAGATATTTTTGCACTACGCGTGCGAGGCACATACCATAGCCATGCCAGAGGGTTTCACAAACCGTGAAGTAAAATTGTCGAACAAAATAGTTTGAAATTTGTTTTGACTTGTTTTGACTTTTGACTGAAAGGTATTTATGAATGGGAATAAATACGCGCTTGGCCGGTATTCAACAAGTACGTTTAAATCCGGCTAGGAGCCTGGACTTGCATTAATGGCCCTTTCCTTCGGCTTGGGTCATTATCAACGTCTAGGCCCCTAGAAGCACATATTTATGCCCTTAATAGTAAACAATTATGACATTTACTGCAAAAATTAAGATCGAAAAAGATGGAATCAGGAACCAACTTCATGGAACTGATAAGCACAAAATAATGCTCAGCTGATTAACATGCTAAGCAAATATTAGCAAACTACCAGTCAGTAGCAGTAAGACATCACATTTTGACTGGTAACCTGTGTTTTTGCCAAGCAAATGAGCTTAGCACAATGAAGTGTTCATCAACTTGATTAGACTGGGCCATATTCTAGTACCTCCAACTGTCTTACACCCTCTATTTTTATCTTTACCCATTTTCGGTTGTTTCTAATACGTAGAATACCACTTTGGGCTCCATGCCTCTATATTTTTGCCTATGGTGAGGTATTCTTGTATCAAACACAATATGTAGTTTGTACAAATACAATATTTACCGTTATTTATGTAAAAACAAAATACCAACTTGTTAATAGAAATATATTGTGAAATAGACATTAATACAATATTACTGTTTCAATAAACTAATATTTAGAGAAGAAATACCTATATAAACACATCTGTTGCTGAGAGTTGCAGTTGCATTTTTTTTGTGTCTCTTTGTTTTTGTTTTGGCTTGTATTTTTGTTTGGGGGGGGGGGGAGATGGGGGAGGCTTATTTTCCAATGTATATCTTAGGATAGTTTTATTTTTAATGTTCAACGTACTTTTTAAGCCGAGGCGGGCTTTTTTGCAGAGGTTCGGGAGAGGAATAAGAAGGTCTAATCAAGCAAAATGGAGGGGGGGGGGGGTGCCGCATGTGAACTTAAATTCGCAACCCCTCCCCCCCCCCCCCTAAAAAAAAAAACCGCCCATGTTATACCTGCGTCGCCCAGCTGGCAAGTGAGGGCGCTATTCCAATTCACAGAGTTACAAATTTCCAAATTTTGGCAGGAACGTAAAATGGCGGGCAGCACAAGTTGTTTTCCCTGCCTGCTTCCTACAAAGAAGGCCGTTTCTCCGTCTTTTAATATCGTTCATCGGTTGCATATGCGACAGGTAAAAGCCTTATTGTGCGAGTGATACATTTCAGTGATTCATGTGAATAAATATTGACATTTACGGAAATGAGTGCCGTGTTAAAAATGGGACGAAAAAAGCGAAAGGGGCTTGCGCCCAGCCCAATGTCATGAATGTTTGGAAAGATTCCCATATCTGGCCATCACTTATCACCCTATGTGCACAAACCCTATGAGACTGGTCTGAAATATGTAAGTGTTTACTCAGTAAACACTTTAATATTTTTCCTGCTAGATTCGTTTTTTTAGGGGAAAGAATGTTGCATCCTGATGCTACTTTCGAAACAGAAAAAAAAAAATATTTTTTTTGGCTTAGGGCCTATCTTGTTCCTCAGACATGCTCAGACTCAGTCAGAGAGTATACTTTCATGTGAAAACTGTAAGGAATAGGCCGAATGTCAGACAAGTCGACCGTTGAGACAACTCGACTCGGGACAAGTCGACCGTTGGCGTTGAGACAACTCGACCGTTGAGACAACTCAACTCAGGACAAGTCGACCGTTGAGACAACTCGACTCGGGACAACTCGACCGTTGAGACAGCTCGACTTGTATGTACACACGTGAAGCGGAAAAAGTCGCACAATCTGTGGCAGGACCGGGCGCGGCGCAGGCACACTCGATGCACAGAGGGCGCTTTATTAACGCAATGGTCGGTCTAATGCACGGGTGAACGGTACCGAATCCCGAACTGCATGCGCACCGTACCAGCGCATCAAGTGGGCGCACAGGCCCGGCAAAAACGAACGATGTGCCGTCAAAATCCCCGTTGTCTCAACGGTCGAGTTGTCTCAACAGTTTTGAGGGTGAAATCTGATGTTTTTTGGGTCGTTTCTATTGTGTAACGCCATGGTGGCCATGAGGCTTGGACCCTGCTCTCGCCGGACCATGCCCCAATGTTAAAAAAGGCAATTAGGGGCCTAGTAGGCAGGTAGGGTCCAAGTTACTCGGACTAGCCCGCACTAGCCAGATAGTGAGACTATCTCTGTGTACTGAGCCTCACTACCACCTGTGGAAGATGTCTGGAACATTCGTAGATTTCGGCATTAACGATTCAATAAATTATGACTTTCCGATGTAAAAGGAAATTTATTGATCGGAAGTTTTGAGATGGTCAAGTGATTTTGGATTGTTTTTTCTCTTGTATTCAGTTCTGCCCCTAGAGTGATGTACCTCTCTCCATTTGGCACAAATTACAATACGTACAAATACAATGCAGGTCTACAATTCTTTACCCAATTATTCTTTTGTATCATAAATCATAAAACCTCTCGGTTGACAGTTGCGAGGAAGTTTGCGACCCACCGCCCGTACCTACCCCGTCTGTCGCTCCTTATTTGGCAAGATTCCAGGTCGACTTGGCATCCCACTCAAGAACATCGTAGATGCATCTTCTCTTCTTGATGAAGGGTAAGCACATGAGTCTTGGACATCCTGAGCTACTGCTCAGAAAATATTTCGAAGCAACTTTGTTGGGGCAATTCCACGGTAGCTCGGGTACGTAAAACGGGTTGACTTTGTGCTGTTATTCTATAAAGTCAAACGTTTCAGGTGGATTTTACTAACAGAAGATCCCTTGAAATAAATTGACTAAACTACACAAAAAAGGCTAACAAAATAAACTTCTGTTGGTTTGGCACATAAGATTGTTATCGGTAACTCACATTACACAAAAAGAACATTGCAAAACTTGAAATACCTTGCATTTGAAAGTTCCTCATACTGTGCAGTGATGAAAAATCTTTTCAGTGCCCTTACATCATTAGGGTATAAGTCATGTACTACCATTTAAGCTATTAACCCTAACCGCCCTGAATCCTCCCAAATCCTTTTGCAAATTGGAGGAGTTTGCAGGATTGAGGTAGCATGGCAAAAGTGCGTTGCTGATTTCAGAGTACGCACTGTGTCAAGGTCTTGGGCCGGACCTTGTGTTGTTTATGCTCAGCCGTGCATAAATTTAGTCCTTGATTATACTTGAAATCCTCCGCACTGCTCCAGGATGTCACTGCCTCTGCCTCAGCCTACTGACAGTCATAGCCGGAGGATTTTGCAGGATTCAGGCAGTGGTCACCCCTCTATGGACCATATTCAAGAAATAACGGAGGAATTTGCAGGATTGAGGCTATATGCTATTTTTCCATGAGGCCAATTGGAGGATTTTGCAGGATTGAGGCTACATCCTAGCAAAAAGGCCTAGGGAGTTAGGGTTAAAGCAATGATCAGTCATAAAATCTCTAGAGGGATAATTTCAGTGACTCACATTACGGTAACTCGTGTTACAATTTGTCCGCCCATTTTTGGTACAAGTTCAAGCATGTAAGAAACTAATAATCAAACAAAAAAAATATGGAAAGAGTGTTGCAACCTGATGCCACTTCCGCGGTTGTGTACAAAGTCTATGGAGAGTCAAGACAATTTTCTTAACAAGTATTTCCTAACAAATTTGGAAATGTTTCTCAGTCCCAGATTCATGTCTTATCATCATTTTTGCAATAATGACCTTCATTGAGATGATATATGAAGAAAAAAGTGGCATCAGGTTGCAATATTCTTACCAAAAATATATTTCTGTGCCCTAAAAACAAAAAATCACAATAACACTTCCATATTGCATGTAAAAACAAGGTACCAAAATGACTACCTAAAATCCACAATTCTAGCCCCCCAAAAAACCCAACTTTTTTTTACAAAAAAAATGTATGTAACTATTCCATCTCACTGCCACATCATTCAAATGAAACTGAAAGGTCTTGTTGTCCCCTTAAATTAGATACAAACTTGAGGTTTTGATGCTTGCAGTTTTGAAAATTTCATAAATTTTTCATTTTTCAGCCATGTCCACTTTCTCATGGAATTGCCCATAGTAATTGTTTGACCTGCTGTTCATTGCAGTACATTCAACAATTGATATCCAGTAATGTGACCAATCTTTGAACAAGGCTTGTCCAAATGTAGTCATAATTTTAAATTTGAGCAAAATCATGAACAAACACTGAAGTGTGAGTTCAGTGCATTGAGTGCAAAATATAAGCTAGTACATTTTAGCCGTGGTTAACCATAGAACATAATCAAAATCACTGTTCGCTGCATTGGATTATTCAAATCAGTGCGCATGTATTGTCTGGCCAGTATAATAACCCTCCAAAAATAACATCTTTTCTTTCAAATCTACCTCTTTGTTTCTAGCCATGTCTTTCTAGGCTTCAGCAAAGACGGCCAGTTTGTGTTGTCCTACACACTCAATGTGGACGTAGAAGACCACACGTCTTTCCCAGTCTACATCTACCAACTGTTCTGGTGGAGGTACAGAGACAACCAACCCATGTATAAGGTAAGTGACTGAATTGCCTGTTTCATGTTTGCATACTGGAAAACACAGATGAGCAAAAATTTGAAAACCAAAGGGCCATCCTTTTGACCTCTTACTGAGTGATTGACCGATGACTGGCAGGCTGGATTGCTGGCTGGCTGGTTGGCTGGCTGGCTGGCTCCCTCCCCCCCCTTCCCGACTCCCCGACTGACTGACTGACCGACTTGTGTGCTGGCTGGCAGGTCAACCGACAGACGTCGCTAGACCCCTTTAAATGGGGGAGAGGGGTGCATGACGACAAATTTGCCAACAGACGATCCGTGTTAAAAGGTAGACAGGATTTTTTACCCAGCCACCCAGCCTCCGTTGAGCGGACAATCATAGGCTTTATCGGACAATAGATGGCATTTATCGTTCTGGCTCATTTGCTGACGGACACATGATTTCACGGACAGGACGATTTCGCTCACAAAAACTATCTTTGGGAGGGGGGAGGGAGTGTCACACCTCCCATATCCCTCTCTAGTGACGCCTGTGCTTTCGGGTCCAGCTGAACTAGGCTACCCAAGTTTTATTTCAGAATGCACTGCAGTCGATAATGTGACATGTCCGTTCTATAAAATCTGACAGGTTTAGGTACAGAAGCCTAATAACTTTCACAATGCAAACATAAAAATTTGTTACATAACACTTGCATTTTAATTAGATTCAGAGTTCTCTGTGCAATGAAGTGAAAACCTAGAGTACTGAGTTTGAAGTAATTTCCTGCAGGTGTCGGAGGTTCGTTTGTTCAATGAGGAAGAAATACAACAAGATCTGTACATTGCTGTTTGTAGCTGGCCTACGGACGGCTCCAAGATCCTGGTGTATGGCTGGTAAGTATCACTCTGTCTGTCCACCCTTGTGCCTATCTGTGGGTCTCTGGTTGTTTTCCTAAAGAGATTTGCAAACCCCTTAGCCAAAGGCTACTGAAGGTGATGGCTTCAACAAACAAAAAAAAACGTGCGTCTAAGGTCCCTATTGGAAAGTGAAGCAAATTTTCCTCGAATTTTCAAATTAAGCTCAAATTCTAAGTAAACCGTTGGGAAGGAGACTGCGAGTCATGCACCAGTAGGTTGGTAAAATATACTAAGTGGGAGAAGAAAAAGTGGAAAAAAAACCTCTGCCACTTTTGGTTTTTGCTTTTCAACATTTTCCGTCTTACATACAAGTATTGTTTTGCAATTAACCCTCACCCCTAAGATATTTAGGCTAGAAACCCTTCTGAAAGCAGCAACATGCAGCACTAGTGCAGCACTAGCAAAGATCCATCAGGTTAACAGTCTGAAGGCCAAACTGCCTCTGTGGTCACCAAATGCAGCAGGATACAACTGTGGCATTGTTTAATGGGACAAGCTCTCATTGTTTCAGGATCGGTCGTTTATGCACTGGTGTTGATGGCTCAATGCAGCAGGGCACCACAGACTTTTACACCTGATGCACTGTGTTGCGATAGACAGAATAAGGGTTAAATAAAAACAACCACCAAAACGGTTTCTTTTGCAGCTGTATGTCTTCCAAGCCGCGGTCTGAGGAGAAGCTGATGTGCTACGTCACCATCACGGCAGTGCCTTCCCTTGCGCCTTGCCCTAAGTGCCTTCACCTCAAGTACAGTACTGACACAGACTACACATCCCATGCAGGTATTCATGAAGCCAACATTCACTCTGACGTCTGATGAAATTTTGTGTTGGGAGACGATAATTGTAGTTTCAAAATTGGCTTTTGCCCTTCACCAATGTACTTTTGTAGGGATAGGGTGATTGTAGAGGATTGTAATACTAAGTTATTGTCCAAGTATTTACTGACCAGGTGCATCCGTTTATTAATTTTAAAGTAGAACAAAGAAAAACGTCAGCGAAGGGCAAAACCTAATTTGATTTAGAACAAAGAAATTGACTGGAGCGGGGTTTGAACCTGCGACCTCCGGATTGCCTTTCCGGTGCCCTACCAACTGAGCTATCCAGCCCTATCTTGGTTGTTTCCCTATTTTTTCAGTGTCTTTGTTCAAGGGTGCTAGTCAGAAACCATAAACCTATATATGCCATGTAGCCAGGGATCCTACACATAGTTATCTCTTAAACAGCAGCAATGTTGCAAACCTGGGAAATAGTAAACGTGGATCGCTCCGAGAGGATGTGGCTTTTTGTCCTTAAAACAGTCTTTAGATTTTATAAAGCATTGAATACTGGTCCACCAGTTCATGCCATTTGCACACACAATCTGCCTTTCTTGGCTTACACGAATAGGAAGAGAAGCTCCTGCCATATTTGACTCTTATAATATGCACTCAAAGTACCACCTGTTCTAATTGAGAACAAGCCCTGATCCTTGTCAAGAATTGTTGGATACTTGTTGTGAAGTTGGATATGACACTGAAAATGATTTTAGACTTTGCTTTCGTTCTCTAAATTGAATTTCAGATCCAGGGGTGCCCCCGGACCTCGCAGATGAGCTGTCGGCAACCTCGGGAGCCGCTGCCCCGCCCTGCTGCCTACAGCACAGTTTTGCCGTCCACACCCAATACGAACTCTCCCCTCCCTTCCCATCCTTCTCCCCCAAGCACAGCCTGGCCAAGGATGGCCTGGTGGTCCTAAACACGGGGGATTCCATCATAGCTCTGGCGGTCAACGTCGGCGACCAGGACCTACCCTCGGGGAGCCTCTACTCCCCTCTCCTAACCCCCTCTCGGGGGTCCAGCACCCATCGGTCTAGCTTACATGGAACCGGCCCCCTGCATGTTGGTACCAGTGTGGAACCGGATGATGATTTTGAGGATCTGGAAGACAGTGCGGCTTACCCCCACCAGATTGAGCGACACAGCCGAGCCTTGGCTGCCATGGACCTGGACAGCTACCAGCTCTGCGACGAGTGGGACTACCCGGAGAGCTCCCCGGCCATGTTCCTCCACGACTCGGACTTCGACGGCGAAAACACTCGAGACACAGATGATGACGAGGATGAGCCCACACTACGAGACCACACGCTGAGTCCAATGTGCAATACGGGGCATTGGAGCGACGCCGACAGCTCCTGTCTGACCACTTCACCAGGACATCAGCAGCCAAGTCAGCAACCACCTCTTGCCAAATCCAGTCCACCCTGGAGTGCCTCGGAAGACGTCGGTGTTTCTTCATCGGACCCTACTTTCTCGGCTGCTCTGCCTGAAATCCAGGTCAGCGCTCACTCACCTTCGACCGCTGGCGGGAGAATCACAGGTGCCACTGTTCCCACGGAAACACATTCCCCTGGAAACGCCTCTGAAAACGCTGCGTTTGGTTCCGAGAGTTCAGACGAACGGAACAGCCGAAGACATTCCAAAAGCAAGAACCATTTTCGAGGTGCTGGCCCGCGGAATCAAGTGGACAACTCGCCTGTGGCAGCTAGCCAGGAGCAGACCCACACTGGAGGAAACATCGCACAGAAAACAAACCCAGCCGGTGGAGACAAGAGTGCCCAAACAAACAATTGCCTGGCTGGACCCTACATGAGCTGGAGCAGTCCACTCCGGTGCGGGGGTTACACCGTGTCGGACAGGGGCAGCACCTGCGGGGAGGACGGGCAACTCGGCAGCGAGATCGAGCAGCATTGCCCTTACCATCACCGGGCAACAGAGGGCAGCACACAGGGAAGCCAGCGTACAATGCAGGAGTGTACCTGCAAGCTGCAGGGCTTCACGTATTCGGTCCGACGATACGTGGAAAGAACCCTGTACCATGACTATCTGCAGCCCTTGGAACCAGACAGTGAGTGACTTAATTAATTCAGCAAAACAAGCTCAGAAAAGCCTAAAGGCTTCTTGCAATTTTTACCTGGATTTACTGGATGTAGAGAATATAACTGAAGCTTAATTTCATCGCCTCTTTAATAGCAGGTGGACATACATATGGAGTGAATATCAGTGGTTTGTTGGACCAGATTTTCAAGTTCACATTTGAATTGATCAGTTGTGTTTGGTCTGAGAACTGAGTTAGGGGAGTAAATTTAAGATATTAATGCCTCCAAGAGAGTATATTTAGCTTGGCTTGTTTTGAGGTGCGGTTTTGTAATTTTATGTGTTTCCTCCTAGTTTTAGAAACTAAAACTAAGGCCAAAAAAAAAATAAGTCGGTCTCTGGTCAGCGCGCGCGTCGATTTTAATGATGCGCGTCGATCTTTTTTTTTCCAAAATGTTCCGCGGTAGCTCCAACAGCGCCCTCTATTTCTGCACCTCCTCAATTTTTTTTTTACCAAAGAGCACCAAGGAATGGGAAATTGCACCAAGGCAAATGATCGAAAGCACCAAGGCAATTAGGACATGAGGACACCAAAAAAGCAAAATAGTACCCCACCTTGTCAGTACAATCCAAGCTTGAAGAAAAAAAAAAAAGCAAAAAAAAAAAAAAAAAAAAGCCGCGTGGCCGCGTCAATTCCGGAACTTTGGTCTGACCAGAGACCGAATATTTTTTTTTTTTGGCCTAAGCTGTCAAGATCGTTAAGCATTTCAAAGTTTGGGATGATTTGGTCAAAAAAAGTCGGGAGTCAAAGCTTCAGAGACGAAATTTATGAAGATGAGGGATGTACTTAATAATATTCTGTTTAACATCAAATTTGATATCAATTTATTTTTTTGATGTTTTATCCAGCCTTTGACTATCATAGTACGGTCCCACTGGTTGTGTGTGGTACCCAGAAGTCTCCTATGGTGATGACCAGCAGGTGTCTTATAAATGAGGTAAGCAGTCTTTTTATCTCTCCTGTTTGGTTTTCTGTGGCATTTATGTCAATGGCTATGGCTAGTCAGTATAGCTTTTTAGTAACAAATCCATTGCCACAATACAAATTAAGACAAAGCCAGAACTGTAAGCCTATCTGTGGTAATGCTTTTCAGTGGTGTAAACTTATCTAGCCTGATATTATAGTTTTGATGGGGGAGTAAGAACTTCAACCGGCACAGCAATGCTTTCCTTGCAGGGTTACCATGTGGAAGTGAAGCAGCTGACAATGGATGCAGAACACTACCTCTGTGTCACCATACGCACCTACGCCCCCTGGGCCAAGCGCTACATCTCCTTCACAGACTACGACATGCAGATACTGGATGTAAGTCGGGCTAAACAAAAATGAAAAATCGTGTTGTTTATGAGATGGGCACATGTACAGTGGACTTGGGATGTCATCATTGAGTAGCAAGATTTGAAAAGTTTTGTGTTGCGAAAGTGTTCCATTTTGTTCAGACATAGTTTGATTTTGTATTTTGGCATGAAATTGTACATAAAATTGTTGTTATTGGTGCTGATTGGTCGACAGGTGTGTGGAGATTCCTACAGCGTGGTTGTCATGGTGATTGCCCTTATCCGTGCATGGCCAGAACCCACGGTGCCTCGAGATGTCTTTGAATTTGACGACGACCCAACAAAGTTAGTGGAAATTGTTTTATCAAATCGACGTACTAATTTCTGAAAAAGTTTAACACTTCTTGGCTTTCTTCAGTCAATGTAACTCCCCGGATAAGAAATCTCCCCTTGAAATCAATTTTGTCCATTTGCCAACTTCTACATTTTTGCACTTGGATATCAGGTCCCATGAAAAGTCATAATGACTAGGTTTGTTCTGTAGAGTATTCAGTTATTCTGTTTTCAAAGTCAAGTCCCATTTTATTCTGTATTTTATTTCACCCGTCTCCATTCACAGTGAAACACCCAAACTTTACGAGACGAGTTTCAAGTTCTCCTGGAATCTGAAAACCGGTAAGCGTCTGTGATTTGTGAAAACAAATTTTTGGGACCGCAATGGAAATAAGTTTTTTAAAAACTTGTTTGCGTTATCCCAGCATTTTCCACTGTATGGGGATTTTCTAAGTTTTATTTTAAATTATTTATACGATTTTTGATAAATTTTGATGTGTTTTGTTAGATCTTAACTTATATTCCAACTGTATCATCATCGTGTGGAAAATGCAAATAAATCAAATCAAAACCTCTCATATTTGAATTTCTCAACAAAATTCAAACAGCAACCAAGTTTTCCCTCATGTGAACCATTTTGCGGAAGAGAAGCAATTACAGCGAAGTCTGTTGCTCAAGGACACTACTTCCATTTTGAAAATTTACAATTTTTTTTTTTTTGCAATGGCATGTGAGACTTTAATCCCTCCTCATTTTAATAATGACCTGTTCAGATTTGAATGACCCCTTCACATATGAATGATGACCTCGTCTCATTTGAATAATGACCCCTTGACCCCTGTTTCAGGTCAGTACCAGACGATTGAGGTCGGAGAGTTGAAGGAGTTCAACCAGGCTACACTATGGTAAGGATCCACTTCCTGAGCTTCAACAACCTAAATCTGTCAAAATTATTCCAGTACAGTTGGCTGCTATGATTGACTCTCATAAATATCTTCTGGAAGTTTTCGTCTTACATTCCAACTGAATAAAAAAGGACTGCTGGGCCACAATAGCCATTCTATTGCCGCTGAGTAACTGATTCACCGACCAACTGACTGACCAACAACCATTTCGTGAAGGGGTGGTTCGGAAAAGTTCAAGTAATTTTTCAACAAGAAATACGTATTAATTGTATTAAGATTAGATTAATCAGTCATCGCTTAAAATCCAGTTAAATCTGTGGGTGAAGTGGTATAAAACAAATATTGACTGCTTTAAACTCGTAGTATAGTAAAACCATCCTCCCTCGGTGATCCATTTTAATGGTCCCTATTGTTCCCACTGTGTTAACTTCACTGCAGCAAGACGTGGAATCCAGGTCGCGTGTTGTGCCAGCGACTGCAGCGTGAGTGGGCAGTTCCTCAGGGCCACGCTAGAAGTGTGCACGTACTCACCAACGAGGCTGTCTTCAAAAGTGAGTCTTGTGCTTAAACCAGACCACGATTCTGGAGTTTGTGCAGCCCTTTTTTGTAGTTTTTGCCAAGTCAGTAGTTCTCTGCATTTCTCAAACCTTGGTTTTCTCTTTGGATTAGATCCAAACTCAATTTTCACAAATTCATGCTCTCGAGTTTGGCATCTATACCTCAGTATGGGCTCCGTGTGCAAAACTTATGTTACTCTGAAAAGCTGTGAGTATCAGGCGTCGTCAGCAATGCGTTCCAATGTCTCTCCCAGTGTTCTCCCCCTAAGGCAAAAAAAATAAAGTCTCCGGTTTCTGGTATGGAGCTTGCCCAAAAAGTGGTGCAGCGACGCGGCTTTTTTTTTTTTTTTTTTTTTCCTGATTTTTTTGCTTCAAATGTCGGCTGATGACTGCAAATGGTGCCCGACTAAACTTAGTGCAAGTATATGGGAGTCCAGAGAGGCCACATAAAGCTTATTCTCGACCATAACCCAATCTAAAAACACGTTAAAATTGTGCAGCAGCAGGATTCCAGTCAAACCAGTGAGTTTGGCGGTTTTGAGACATCATCTTTCATTGAAAAAAAAACTTTTTCATTTTGCCGACGCGCATGGCTACGGCGACGCGCGCGCATACCAGAAACCAGAGACCTTTTTTTTTTGGCCTAAGTCTCCCTTTCTTACCATTGAGGGCTACTTGTGCCCAGAGCCTAGTGGTTGAATTTTTAATATCAAATCCTGATATGCATGTAGAGTTTATGATACCAGTGTTTATAGAATAGAGCAATAAGCCTCTGTACTGATGACTTCACACTTTGTTTACACATGTGTCTGGTGGGGATGACGGTTTCATAACCACATAGAAAAGGACATAAGTAAACAAAGTGTGATGTCACCAGTACAGAGGGGCTTATTCCAGCATTACGTTACTTTTAAGAGCTCGGTGAATAAACCTGAAAATGTTTTTTTTTTTCAAATCTTATACATTCATTACCTAGTTATGGTCAAGGAGATTACTGACTGGGAGCTTTCATGGATCATTTCTCTGAATAATTAATGGTTAATTGGCTCTGTCACAGACATTACATTTCGTTTCATAACGCTGGAATTGCGTCGCAAAACTTGTTCTGAAGAAGCTAAAAGTTGAGGCCAAACCAAGATTTTAAAAATGGCTAGGAAGAATCTGACTTGAAATATGCCTCGTTTTTTTTTAACACACAGACAAATCTCTGCGGAAGCTGCTGGACCCTGTACACTACGTAGCCATAGTCCTGACGTGACCATAATGGAACCCATAGGTGCTACACCTGATTCATGGTGATGAGTTGGTCCGACAGTGGTGCCCATAAACCTAACCTGTGTGCCTGCTTCTCCCAATTCGTAATGCCTACATGATCCAACAATAGAACTCATATACCCCTCCTCTAGGTGCTACACCCAATTCATGGTGATGACTTGATACCACAGTGGTGCCCATAAACTCAAGCTGTGTGCCTGCTACAATCAATTCATAGTGCTGACATATCATGGTGGGACCCATGTACTCAACTTTTAGGTGCTACGCCCAATTCGTAGTGCTGACGTGATCCCACAGTGGAACCCATAGACCCCTTCTATGGGTGCTACACCCAATTCATGGTACCCAATTCATGGTACCAATTCATGCTACGCCCAATTCGTAGTGCTGACGTGATCCCACAGTGGAACCCATAGACCCCTTCTATGGGTGCTACACCCAATTTATGGTACCGGTGTGATCCCACAGTGGAACCATAGACCCCTCTGGGTGCTGCTACACCCAATTCATAGTACTAGTGTGATCCTACAATGGAACCCATAGACCATTTTTCTTGGTGCTACACCTAATTCATAGTTCTGATTTGATCCCACAGTGAGACCCATAGACCCATTTTAAGCCCGCAGTGGTACCCACTATCATTGTTTTGTTGGGAAATTGAAACCCATAGTCTAGGTGTTGGTAACATAAAATAGTACGTGCCCACCTATTTCCCAGAATGTAATTTCAAACAGCACTTTAAACCAGTGTGACATTGTTACCGTTCGGATCAAATTCATCATGCAGTATTTTTGTACTTGTTCAGTTCCTGTTGCTTTCTGAATCAGTTCCTACTTAACGTTATCAATTTGTTTATATTGAAAATGTTTTTTTACACATTGGTGTATTTACTCGAATACTGGTATTCAAATTTGTTTCATATTTGAATTCTGCTTGTTGGCTTTGTTTTGAGTTCAAAGTTTTTAGAAATATCAACTGTTTGCTATGTTCCATCGTAGATGCTTTGCCCCATTTATGCTATTGTTATTTTAACCCTTAGGTCTCTCTCAAATGATGTCACTTCCTACACATTGCAACGTACATCGGCATTTTGGGAGTCAAGTTTTCGTGACGCGCATCAGCTGCGATATATTTCGAAGAAATTTCGAGCAAAACACACCGTGTTTTAGAACATTTTGCACACTGGGCGCACGCACACAGTCGTTTTTTGCTATGCTTCCGAGGATTGGCTTTGTGTTTTCCTTTGTTCCCTTATCTAAACCTTTCCCATAGACTAAGCGCACAAACAAGCATTCAAGGACAAAGGGACCTTCGATCGAGATCACAAACGAACCTTTGTTCTCCCTTTGTGTGTGATCCTCGGTCATAAAGCCATGTAAGAGCACACACACATGATGGTGTTGAACACGCAGTTGTAAGTTTCCTACGAAGTTGGCCTCCTATGAGAGAGATCTGCAGATATTTTTCCTAAAAACAACCGACAAAAGTTCCAGTACTATTAATAAAAAATATAATTTATTGTTAGTGTCATTTCCGGGCCAGGAAATAAGTTAAAAAACAATTTCATGTACAACAGTGAGGCATGCTTTACTAAATAACATAAAATGGTCAAGTTTTAACAGTGTCAACACACATCATGTAGTTGGCAGCTGTAGTTAACAGCTGAAGAATTCCAAGTTCCAAGTGGCATGGGCTCTGTGCACAAACAGAGAGGGCGCTTTTCGACCACTTTCGAAAGCCCCATGGATGGGATACACCACTTGCATTTAACACAAAGTACGCATGACTCATTTTATCATTCTGATTGTGCACAACGTCATTACATCTTCGCGAGAGCGCAAGGCGTCGTGGGCAATGCGTTCAATTGTCTCTCCCAGTGGTCTCCCCCAACTCTCCCTTTCTTGCCGTTGAGGGGGTACTTGTGCACGGAGCCCATATCCAGTCAGGAGGGAGGCACATTTGACACAGAGGTTACAGACAAAACTTGAAGCCATTTATAACTAAACTGTCGGAAATTTTGTTGCATATATAACATCTTCCCTTTTTTTTGAGTTCTCAAAATATTTACGAAGCAAAACATTTTTTCGTGAAAAATAAATTTTGGGTTACAAAAAGTTAATGTTAAGTGTAATTCCTCACATAATAATACCGATTTTACACTCTATTGCACTGATGTATACTCATGTTACACCTCGAAATAAATGTCCAGAATTGCACACCACCACTTAAAAATCCTTACATTATCTCCAGCATGAATATGGCCACAATCTTGTATTTATTGGGATGCACAATGTTTAATACCAATGGCTAAGTTACTTGTGTGTGTGTACATGATGCAAACATTGAATTATTAAGTGAAAAATGTGTGTGTAATAAATTTATACAGCTTTACAGTGAATTCGTCTTTGAGAACTGTTTGTTTTTACCAAACTGTTCAGGAAATATCATGCCTACCAGTCAATGAAAAGTAGTTTGAAGATCATGGTATATATGCAGAAAAATCTGATGCTTATACAGGCATAAAACACATTCCCCTCCCCCCCCCCCCCCCAATCTACCCATGCATGTATTTTTGCAATAACCACGGGTGAAATATGTTAATTACTATGACTTCTCCAAATCACTCAGACATTTCTTACGCACAAAGAAAATAATAAAATGAATTGAAACATTAATATTTTGGCTACAATGCAAGGATAACCCCTTGCTATTTTCATTAAATTTTGCCGTTTCTAAAAAAAATGGGGTTTATTTTCTTCGTGTGTATGTCAATTATAGGCAAAAATCATCCTTTTGGGGGGAGAAAATACATGTACATGAAAAAGAATTTTGACTGTTTTTGTCCCAATTTTTCGGCCAAATTTGATTTTCAAAGGCACATCTGTTCCCAAATTGAATTGGAATGTTACCCTTGGGCATCTTTCCTGCAAGTTTCAAGGAATTTCATTTTTTTGCCAAAATTGAAAAAAAGCAAGGGTTAGCCTTACATTTTATTGATGAAATTTGGCCAAAAATTGACTTTTCTCTAAACAATGCAGAAATTCCTTAAGAGGTAAGAGGAGCACCCAAATTTAATGGGAATGTGTTCTAGGGTCCCTTAGGCATCTTTCCTGCAAATCTGAAGCAAGTAAATTTTTTGGCCAAAATTGGAAAAAAAGCAAGGGGTTAGCCTTACATTTTTGATGAAATTTGGCCAAAAACTGACTTTTCTCTAAACAATGCAGAAAGTCCTTAAGAGGTAAGAGGAGCACCCAAATTTAATGGGAATGTGTTCTAGGGTCCCTTAGGCATCTTTCCTGCACATTTGAAGCAATTTAATTTTTTGGCCAAAATTGAAAAAAAAGCAAGGGGTTAGCCTTACATTTTTGATGAAATTTGGCCAAAAATTGACTTTTCTCTAAACATTGCAGAAAGTCCTTAAGAGGTAAGAGGAGCACCCAAATTTAATGGGAATGTGTTCTAGGGTCCCTTAGGCATCTTTCCTGCACATTTGAAGCAATTTAATTTTTTGGCCAAAATTGAAAAAAAAGCAAGGGGTTAGCCTTACATTTTTGATGAAATTTGGCCAAAAATGGACTTTTCTCTAAACAATGCAGAAATTCCTTAAGAGGTAAGAGGAGCAACCAAATTTAATGAGAATGTGTTCTAGGGTCTCTTAGGCATCTTTCCTGCAAATCTGAAGCAATTTCATTTTTTTGCCAAAATTAAAAAAAGCAAGGGGTTAGCCTTACATTTTTGATGAAATTTGGCCAAAAATTGACTTTTCTCTAAACAATGCAGAAATTCCTTAAGAGGTAAGAGGAGCACCCAAATTTAATGGGAATGTGTTCTAGGGTCCCTTAGGCATCTTTCCTGCACATTTGAAGCAATTTAATTTTTTGGCCAAAATTGAAAAAAAGCAAGGGTTAGCCTTACATTTTTTGATGAAATTTGGCCAAAAATGGACTTTTCTCTAAACAATGCAGAAATTCCTTAAGAGGTAAGAGGAGCACCCAAATTTAATGAGAATGTGTTCTAGGGTCTCTTAGGCATCTTTCCTGCAAATCTGAAGCAATTTCATTTTTTTGCCAAAATGGAAAAAAGCAAGGGGTTAGCCTTACATTTTTGATGAAATTTGGCAAAAAATTGACTTTTCTCTAAACAATGCAGAAATTCCTTAAAAGGTAAGAGGAGCACCCAAATTTAATGGGAATGTGTTCTAGGGTCCCTTAGGCATCTTTCCTGCACATTTGAAGCAATTTCATTTTTTGGCCAAAATTGAAAAAAAAACAAGGGGTTAGCCTTACATTTTTGATGAAATTTGGCCAAAAATCGACTTTTCTCTAAACAGTGCAGAAATTCCATTAGAGGTAAGAGGAGCACCCAAATTAAATGGGAATGTGTTCTAGTGTCCCTTGGGCATCTTTCTTGCACATAAGAAGCAATTTCCTTTTTTGGCCAAAATTGAAAAAAAGCAAGGGTTAGCCTTACATTTTTGATGAAATTTGGCCAAAAATTGACTTTTCTCTAAACATTGCAGAAAGTCCTTAAGAGGTAAGAGGAGCACCCAAATTTAATGGGAATGTGTTCTAGGGTCCCTTAGGCATCTTTCCTGCACATTTGAAGCAATTTAATTTTTTTGGCCAAAATTGAAAAAAAGCAAGGGTTAGCCTTACATTTTTGATGAAATTTGGCCAAAAATGGACTTTTCTCTAAACAATGCAGAAATTCCTTAAGAGGTAAGAGGAGCACCCAAATTTAATGAGAATGTGTTCTAGGGTCTCTTAGGCATCTTTCCTGCAAATCTGAAGCAATTTCATATTTTTGCCAAAATGGAAAAAAGCAAGGGGTTAGCCTTACATTTTTGATGAAATTTGGCCAAAAATCGGCTTTTCCCTAAACAGTGCAGAAATTCAATTAGAGGTAAGAGGAGCACCCAAATTAAATGGGAATGTGTTCTAGTGTCCCTTGGGCATCTTTCCTGCACGTTTGAAGCAATTTCCTTTTTTGGCCAAAATTGAAAAAAGCAAGGGGTTAGCCTTACATTTTTGATGAAATTTGGCCAAAAATTGACTTTTCTCTAAACAATGCAGAAATTCCTTAAGAGGTAAGAAGAGAACCCAAATTTAATGGGAATGTGTTCTAGGGTCCCTTAAGCATCTTTCCTGCACATTTGAAGCAATTTCATTTTTTGGCCAAAATTCAAAAAAAAAGCAAGGGGTTAGCCTTACATTTTTGATGAAATTTGGCCAAAAATCGACTTTTCTCTAAACAGTGCAGAAATTCCTTAAGAGGTAAGAGGAGCACCCAAATTTAACGGGAATGTGTTCTAGGGTCCCTTAGGCATCTTTCCTGCAAATC